CTGCCTGTTCAATATTTTGCATGCCATCTTGCTGTTTGTTCCTTCAACCACAGACGCTCTACCTGCCCATGAGAGGGTTTCCCTCCAAGAGGCTTGGGGCCAGGTGGTGTGTGTTCAGATCCTAGTCCCAAGCCTTTTGCTCCCTCCTCCTTTGGGCCCTGTGCTGGGGGGCACAGCAGGTGCCCAGAACTCCTGGCTGCGTGGCTGTGGGGAGCATCCACCCCTCACATATTCCCCGATGCGGAGCCCAGTCCATAGTGGGCGGCGACACCAGGGCCCTGCCACTAGCTTCTGACCAGGTGGCAACAGGAGCACAGCTGTGCCCGGCCCAGGTGGGGTGGGCACATGCTTCAGGGTGACTTCCCAGAAGAGGGAAGGGGGCTCTGGGACTGAGCCAGGATCAGCAGGGGGGCCTCAGGAGAGGAAGTACAAGCCCCCCACCCCCTGTGCAGAACTCCCAGTCACCAAGACCCCCTCTGCAGAAACGGGCAGAAAGAGGCTGGTGTGGGTGAGCGTGAGGGTGCCTGGCCCGCCTCCCAGGCTTCCTTGGAGGGCACCATCACGGTCAACGGGTGCAGCCCAGCCTGTCCCCAGGGTCGTCCCTTCTTCAGGCCTCAGTTTGTTCATCAGTGATAAGGGGACAGTGGCAGCCCCTCCCCTACTCGCTGCCCATGGTGGGGAATGTTGACGGAGGTGCCTGGGGGAGAGAGCTTAGCTTAGCACAAGGCCAGGCCTTGGACCTCACCGTGACCCCAGCGCCGCATGATTTGCCTTGTGATTCCCAGAAGGCGCTGGGGGGAATGGCGGGGGGAGTTCGGAGGGGAGTGCCGGAAACGCTGGGGCCCATGTTTCTGCCTCTGAAACTGCCCTCTTTGGAGGGAGACTCCAGCTGCCTGAGGGTGGACGACCCCACCCCCGGGGGAGGGCTTGCCTGAGAAGGGTGATGGAGAAGGGGATGCAGGCCGTTAGAGACCCCGCCCCCCGCCCCCTCCTCCAGAAACTCTGACTTCCCTTTATCATCTCCACTTCCTCACTCAAGCCCTAACTGAATCCACAGCGAAGCACCAGGTGGCCTCGGGGAGACGGGCACAGGGAAGGGGTTCCCAGAGACCCCTGTGCCGGTGGCCAGGCAGATATGGGGTCCAAGGCTGGTGCAGCCCATATCTGCCCAAGACCCCCTGGCCAGTGCAAAGCCTGTCCTGTCCTGCACCTTGCATCACGATGGAGCCTGGGGCTGTGCTTGGAGCCCTGGCGTGGGGCAGGGCTGGCTGCTGCTCCCTCTACCACCTGTACCCTGCAGCCCAGTGGGGCTGCAGGATACCATGCCTGCCTTCCAGGCCCCTGCACCCCTCTCCCCGCTTCCCCTCGCCAGGCCTTTGGCAGCTCTGAGCTGACACGTGAGAAGTCCTGCTGCCCCGAAGCCGCAGCGCTGGGGAAGTCATGTGGAAAGAGACAGAGAGGAGCACAGGAGCCCCCGCCCCAGGGAATCGTCCAGGCCTAGCACTGAGCAGGAGAGCGCTGGGACCCCTGGGACCCCGCGGGCTCACAGCATCCTTTCCTGCTAGGCCTGGAGGACTGTGCAGCCCTGCCCCGGTGCACACCCTGCCCCGTGAACTCTTCCCTGGATTCGGGAGCTTCCCTTCTGCTGTGATGGGAAACAAAGGAGGAGAGAGACGAGAAGACCCCAGGGGAGTGGGGATGCGAGCGGGCTGCGGCGGACATCAGGGAATCAGGGGCTTCTCTGACGAGCCCACGTGAGTTCCTCTTTCTGACGGAGACCCAGCCGTGGGGTGGAAATCCCACCCCTACCCCACCCCAGGCCCCAGGAAGGGTGAAGGAGCGAGGCACGGCTGTTCTAAAACAGAGAAGGCAGAGGTAAGCTCAGGTGGCTGTGCCCCCATCCCTCTGCTAAGCGGAGGCTCCTGGGGGCAGCGGCAGCCGCAGAGCTGGACCTGGTGTCGAAGCAGCAGCTAAGGTATTGTACAGACCTTCTCTCTCTCAAAACAATTCTCCTCCTCGCCAATTTCAGATTCACAGGAAGTGGGAAGATGGTAGGGCGAGGAGGCGCCCCAGCAGCTGACTCACTTCCCCTCCGTGTGATGTGGGGTCCGGAGCCCCAAGACCGCAGACCCACGTTCCAATCGCAGCCCTGCTGTGGTCGCATGCCTGCCAGTTCTCCATGTACGCGTGGGGGGGACGCCCGAGGAGCCAGAGCCTGAGCCCTCAGAGCCCCCCCGGAGCAGGGTGCCGGCGACTCCGCCCAAGAGCTGCGGGAGCTTGGGGCCCAGCAGCAGCCACAGGCATCTGCCACTTGCCCTCCCACGTTCTCCCCATCTTCCTTCCTCTTTGGCTCCTGGGAGTTCTCTGTAGATTCTGGATACACATCTTTAACCAATTGTATCTGTTACGAGATCCTCTCTAGATCTTGGCTTGTCCCATTACTAATCAGTATTAATGTAGTCGAATGATCCCTCTTTCCTTTATACATTTTCTTTACATCTTGCTTAAATCTCCCATCCCTAGCCTGAGGTCACGAGACAGTCTGCTCTGTTTCCTACTGAAAGTCTTCCGGTTTTCTTTCTCGTGCTCGGAGGGCTGTGAATGATGTGAGGTAGGGATTCCTAGAAGGTTTTCAGGAATGGATTCTATAAGCAAACTTTTCATTTGCAAGCTGCTGCTGCCTGGGGGGGGGGGGGGGAGGACAAAGAGGCGTCACCAGTGGGGGGAGCTGGATGACAGGAGGTGCTGTCAGACTGGGGATGGAGAGAAGTGGAGAAATCTGGGATGAGTTTTTGGGGGTAAGGGACAGGGGGTGGGGTGGGGGACATTCAGGGACGGAGAGGGTGGCGCCCAGGAGGGTGCTGAGTTCCTGGTTGGGCAGCTGCAGGAATGTGGTGCACCTGCAGGAGGCAGGGGCGGGGCGGGGCGGGGCAGGTGTACCAGGTTAACCTGGAGCTTGGTCCTGGCCACCCTGAGTGCTGCGACCTGCCTGAGTGCCTCTGAGAGACAGCTGGAGATGAGGCCCGGACCTCAGACAGGAGGCTGCGGTTCTCTTAGGGGGCCGTCTGCCTCAGCAGCCCTGCAGGGCGGGAGCAGGCGGAGAGCTGGAGACAGCCCCTGGAGCTGGTGCGCAGAGGGGACTCGGGGAAGACCTGCATGAACACTCGGCGAGGCCAGCTGTGGCCTGTCTCCCCTCAGCAGCTCTGCCAGGGGGTCGCCTGTGGCCATTCTCAGATGAGGAAAGTGAGGCTCGGATAACAGACCTGACCTACACTACGCATCCCCGCCTGCCCGCACCCCAGGAAGGAAGGACCTCTGGTCTCGCTGGCCGGGGAAGGGAAGGGCAGTGTAGCAGAGTGGTGGAGTTGGGACCAGCTGGGGGCACTTGGGCAAGTCCCTCCACCTCTGCAGCCTCGGTTTACCCATCTGTAAAATGTAGCAGAGCCTTGCACAGAGGCAGCTCTGTATCAGTGCTCGTTAAAGACATCGGGACTTGCAGAATAAAGCCATGGCGGTAGACCAGTTCCTACCACTGGAATGGCAAGGACCAAAGAGGGGTGGTGAGTGCCAGGTGTGCCAGGTATGGGTGGGGAGGCGGGGCAGCCGGAACCTGCCCCAAGACCGCTGGAAGTTCCCAGAGCTTGGGAGCCCTGTTCTGCAGCGGCCACTAAAGTTAAACACACGGCTAGCCTGGGACCCTGCCGGCACATGGGTCTAAACATGCACAAGGTCTCATCACAGCCCCCCGCAGCGTGCAGGAGAATGGGGGACCAGGGGCGCGATGTGGTGGAAACCTCTAGAAGTCAGGGGAACAGACTGCCTACCAGCAGCAGAACAGTGCTCCAGGCGGGGAAGCAGACGTGCTGCCATCCCATTTCTATCATGTCCCAAACGAAGCCGCGCAAAACAACATGGCCTTCTGGGAGACAGAGGTCAAAGGGTCTGCCCACAGCAGGACCGAGGTGTGAGCTGTGGCTGCCTCCGGGGAGAAAGGCGAGGGAACACCTCGGCCCTGCCCAAGGCCCTCGTCCCCCTCCCTTTCTTAACCCGATGACCTGGTCCACACACAGCAAATCCCGCACCCTCCAGCCTGCGGGTGGAGGTGCTGTCCCCACTCAGTGCCCCACTGTGTCACTGCAAGGTTTTCTGGTCCTCTCTGTTCCCTTTGTTAGGATCCCAGTGGCCTCACCTCACCTTGGCCCAGATGCCTTCCAGCAGGACGCCAGGCCCTCTGTGCCCCTGCTGTCACAGGGTGATGGGTATCTGCCCCACCCCCAACCGGGCTTGCGTGCTGGGTGCAGGGACAGCACCGGTCCCACTATGTTTGACCCCTGCCACCCCAGCCCCAGGCTCCGCACTCTTCCTGGCTTCGGTGCCTAGGGCCCCAGGCCACATTCTCCAGACAGCAGCGATTCCAGATTCCTGTGCTGCCACACCCCTGTCGCAGGACCCTGGGCCAGGGACTTTCCTCGGCCAGCACCGCCCAGCTTGGGGCCCGAAGGAGGTCCTGCGGCCCGGCCCGCAGAGGGCGCCCGCTGCTCATCCGTGCACGTGTCTGTCCCACCTCAGGAATGGGACACCCGCGGGGACAGAGGCACCCGGGCCAGGGCGATTGTCTCTTCGGGACAGATTTAGGGTTGCAGGGGATGGAGGCGGTGCTCCTAGACCGGACGCACAGAAGCCGAGGCCAGCTCCCTTGGAGTGCGGCCTCAGGTCAGCCTGCGCTGGAGCGGGGAGGGGTGGGGGGCGCCGGGAGGCCTCACCATGCCCCCTTTGCTGAGCAAGGATTTAAGGCGGGCGGCACCATCGCCCTTTGAAGGCTTGCGGTGGGACCCGGTGTGTGCGCAGCGCGGGGCAGAGCGCCCCCTGGAGGCCGCTGCCGACCCCGCCCCCTGCCCCGCCCCCGCCCGCCCCGCCTCCGGCCCCCAGCGGCGCATGCGCGCGGCGCAGCGCTCCGCGGGCGGCGAGAGCGAGGCCGGTCCGCAGCCGCGCGGCGCTCGGCGCCCCATTCATGCTGGGCAGCGGCAGCGCGGCCACGCAGCGGAGCCCGGGCGCGGCGGCGGCCTCGGCCTGGGCGGCCTGCGCGGCTTCGGCGGCCCCGCGGCGGGGCGGGCGGCGGCGGCGGCGCGGGCGGCGGAGCTCGGCGATGGCCGGCGGCGGGGCGCGCCCCGGGGCAGCCGGTGAGTAGGGGCGCAACTTTCCCCGCGGCGCTGCGCGGGGCGGTGGGCGGGGAGCCGGGCCAGGGCTAGCGGGGGTCACGGGGCCGGTCCGAGGTCCCTGGCCCGGGGGGCGCCCCGGCGGTGGGCGCTCGGCGCCGGTCGGGGGGTGGTCTCCGCGAGGGCGCCTCGGTGCGGCCGGGCTGGCAGGGGGTGTGCGCGGGGGACTGCGGCGCGCGTGTCCGCGCTCCGCGTGTCCCTGCGTCTCTGGCCCGGGCGCCCGCCTGTGTCCGGGCGCGGCCGCGGCCGCGGCGCCGGCGCTGAGCTGCCGCGTCCCCGCCCGGCCGGGATCGGACCGCGGCCCCAGGCCCAGAGCCGCCGGCCTCTCCTGGCCGGGCCCGGCCCGGCCCGGCCCGCAGGGCTCCGTGGGACATCTCCCCGGGGCGGCGCGGCGGGGGCGGGTGCTGCCCCCTCCTCAAAAGCAGAGAGAAAGTTTGCGGCGGCCCCGCCGGCAGGGCCCTGCGGGTGCCCAGGCCGAACCCGGCCGCCGGACCCCAGGCTCGGACCTCCGGCGGCCGGCTAGGACCGAGCTGGGCAGGCCCGGGCAGGGCTCGGCGGCCGCCTGGGCAGGGCCGCGGGAACCGGGAGGAGGTCTTGGGGGGGGTCTGTGCCCTGGGCTGGCCCCCGGGAGCTGGTGGGGGGGACTTGGAGCCGCCTCCCGGGGACCGCTGCCCGCCCCCGCCCCCTCTGGCCCGGGGCGCCCGGAGCTGGGCTCCGGGTCCAGCCCAGGGCCGCAGGGCCGCCGCCGGGCTGGGAGGGGGCGGTGCGGGTGCCGCCCGCAGGCCGCCCCGCTTGGGCCTCCTCGGCCTCCCCCTCGCAGGGCCTCCTCTCGGGGGTCAGACCTCTTCCCTCGGAGGCTTCCGATCGCTTCCTGGACAGTCCCGGGCCTGGCGAGCAACGTAGCCGGCTGCGGCGTTGGGCTGATCCCGGGCTGCTTGGGGAAGGGGCAGGGGAGACTCCAGGGAGGCCCCTCTGCCTGCTGGGCGACCCTAGGTGCAGCCTGGGAAGAGAGGGAGAGGGGTTCCGAGGGACTGCCTCCACCTGGGAGCAGCCCCAGGCTGGTCTGTGGGGTGCTGGGGCCACGCCCCTTGAAAGAAAGGGGTGTGCGTGGGGGGGAGGGGACTTGATCGAGCCTCTGCCCCCTCAACCGCTGCTCCTGCGGCTTGGGCACCTCCTGGCCGGCTGCTCCCCCTGCTCCCGCGGGTGCAGGGGTGGGATCAGCCCTTGTTGCCTTGGTCCCTGGGCAGCACACCCCAGGTTCCTGGGGCTCTGCACCGGTTTGAGGTGTGCAGGAGAGGTGGGAATATGCATTGGGCTCCCCAGGAGTCCGCCCAGCCCTCGAGGAGCAAACCTGCAAAGCAGCGATGGCGCTTGCTTGCGGTCAGCCCGAGGGGGGCTCTGCCGGGCCCCGGAACGGTGTTTGTTGGGCAGCAGGGTCCGGACGTCTGGGTTTGTGCAGCAGGCTGGGGGCCCCGGAGGCCCCGTGTGTGCCTGAGGTGTGAGCTCTGAGAGCGGGGCATGAACAGGTTCCCGAGGACAAAGCAGACGGCTCTTTGCCGGACTCCTGGGCCCCCAGGTGGTCGTCCGCATGTTTTGTGTCCCTAGGACCATCCCTGCTGGAGCAGCTGTCCTGGCAGAACCAAGCCGGCGCCCTGAGGCAGGCCCCGGGTGGTGCACACACTTTTGAGGAGCCAGTCTCCGTGGCCTCAGGCCTTGGTCCCAAAGGACCGGTGGACAGCGGTGCTTCGGCCACCTCCCGGCCTCCCGCTGGGGAAAGGTGGGAGTGTCTGGGGGCAGCCCTCTTCCCTGGTTGCTGGTGGAAACCACAGGGCAAGGGGGCAGGACCCCGACTCATGAGGACCCCTGGGGAAAATCCTGGTCCTGGGAGGTGGGCAGGTGGTCCTGCTGTGAAGAGGGCTGGGGGGGGGCCTTTGTGGCCAAGAGCGAGAAGGACCCCCTGTGTTGTCCGGGGCTGGGAGAGGGACGGGGCCGCTGCTCCGGGTCAGGTCCATCACACAGGGATGCCCTGCTGTCCCCCTCACCTGCCTGCAGCCTGCCTCTCCCCGTTTAGCATACTCAGCGCCAGCCCAGCTCCCCTTCCCCCCTGGGCTCAGCCCGGGCAGCCCAGCCCGCTGTCAGTGCCGGGAGCTGCGGCTGTCCTTGCTGCTCTTTGTGCGTCCAGCAGTCTCCCCCAGGCCCTTGCTCCTGCTGTTCTGCCACCCAGCGCGCTCCCCCACCCGTGCCCAGTGCGCCTGGTTCTTCCAGAACAGGTGGAAAGGCGCCTGGGGAGGCTCTGCAGGTCTCAGCGGACAGCGCTGCGCCCTTTACCCTGGAACTCAGCATCTGTCGGGGCACCCGGCCCGGGCCCCTGGCAGCCAGGCACAGCTTCCGGGTGAATGCATTTTTCTCCTGGGCGGACGAGGCCCAGAGGAGCTGAGCCTGAACAGGTTGGCTGCTCCCTGTGGAAGCCTGGCAAGGGGTCCCTGCCCTGTTGGGACTAGCGGGGTGACCTTGGGTCTGTCTCAGCCCTGAGTCCTCCGTCACTAAGGTAGAGAGAGTGATCCAAGCATCGTCATTGGCTTTTGCTAGATGCTGGGCAGGAGGGACCCAGCTCAGAGCTCAGCATCTCCGCTTTCCTGGCCGTGGGCCCCTAGCCTGTCCCAGGGCCAGTCCCATCCTGGCAGCCTCCGTTGGGGGCAGGGGCGTGGGCTGAAGGCCAGGCCAGAGTTCAGATGGTGGCTTCTTCAGCCGGGTCCCTCCCGTTTAATATAAAAAGTGGGGCCCGTAATAGCATTAAGCCGGGTGTAATTATCCCAGAGGAGGGGCCGCCCAGCCCCTGGTAATTACAGGCCTGCTTTGGGCTGATAACCGGTGAGTGATTCATGTTTTCTTTGGAGTTCACATGTGCTCTGCCTTCAGCCCAGGCCCCGCTGCCACCTCTAGGAGCCTGTGCTCGGGCTCCGGGGTGGGGGGCAGGGGCGGAGCTTGGGGGATTCCTCTCCTGACCGTGTTTGGAGGCAGCTGACAGCCTGCAGGAGAGGGTCCCCCAAGGCCATGTGACCTCCTGCCTAAAGCTCCTCCCTTCTCATCTCCGACTCTTCCCTGGGCTGTGGCTGGGCAGGTTTGTGGGGAGGGAGGAGTGAGGGTCAGGTGCAGCTCTGCCCAGGAGTGGCCAGCCACTCCACGTGCCCATTTGTTCGTTCGTGAGTGTTTATGGAGTCCCAGGCTTGGCCTAGAAGACAGAGAGGCCAGCTGCGCAGAGCCAGCAGTGCCCACTATCTCGCAGCCACCGTCCTGGTGGAGGAGATCTGGACGCAGTAGCAACAGAGACCATTAGCACATCCGGTAAAAAGGGAGAGCAGACACCTGATCAGAGGCTGGGGGTGGGGCCGGGCGCAGCAGCCTGCTGGCTGGGGTAGATCCGCAGGCAGAGGCCTACGGCACCATGGCCAGCAGCCAGCTCCCTGCCTGGACCTAGCAGAAGGCTCTCTCTTCAGACCTCAGCTTCTCCACCTGTGAAATGGGGGCTGCGTGGCCACAGGAGAGGTGTGGTCTGGAAGTACAGGGGAGAGTGTGGGCAGCCCCAGCTGGCTCCTGCCTGGCCTGGGATCAGCACTGCTCTGTCCATCTCCAGGGCAGCACGTCGTGGGCACGCCGCGGCCTTCCTCTTGTCATCCGCGAGAGGAGCTGCCATCATCATCCTTGCAGACAGGGAAACCCAGACTAGGAAAAGAATCTGGCATTAACCCTTCGCTTGGCCAACTGCAGCCAGTGGGGGGAGGGGGAGGTGACACTTTCCACGGGCAGGTTTGGGGGCAGGTGACCTCGTGTGCAGGTCAGTGAAGTGGCCCACAGTGCTGTTGGAGACCTGACTGTGGGTTGGGGGTCGGGGGGTGGAGTGTGGCCATGCCATGGCTTCCAGGGCAGGGGCTGGGGGAGCAGTTTAGGGGAGGAAGCTGTTTGGGGGGCATGGCTTTCCTGGGAGATGCCTGCTGCTGGGGTGCGGGGGCCTCTGGGCCAAGGAGGCACACGGGTCTGGTTGGGCCTGAGGTCCCCATAGGGTGGAGATGCCAAGCGGGAAAAGAAGGTAGCTGCTGAGGGCTGGGCTGGGGGCAGCTTTCACCCTCCACCCCGGGAGGGTTGTCTCCTAGGAGCTGGGGGTCGGGCCCGTGGCAGGAGGGGTGAGGTTGGGGGGGGGCGGGGGGCTGGAGCTTGCGTGTCACCTGGGGGGTACTGTTAACTAGGGTGGGGACGTGGGTAGGAGGTGCAAACTGTGGCTTTGGGACCATTGCTTGGGTCTGGAATCCCAGAGTGACTCAGACTGAGCCCAGCCTCGCAGAGAGCCGCCGCCCATCTGTGGCCTTGTTGGGACCCTCACCGAGGGGGTGTGGAGCCTGTGCTGGGGCTGTCCGGGGTGCACGGGGAGTGCTTGGGTGTGAGTAGGAGATGGTGCTAGTGACAGAGGAGGGCCGAGCTCCCATGTGTACCCACGACTGTGTATGCCCACGTGCAGGCTAGCCTCCCGCCCAGGCTAGCCCCAGCCTTGAGTGGCAGGAGTGCGGGGCAGTGGTGAGTGCTCAGTGCGTGGGGTGAGGGAGGTGGGTGTGCCTCCAGCAGCCTCAGGCATGAGGGGCTTGGAGGGTCTTGCTCCTAGGGCATGGATGATGCTCTCGAGGTCGAGATTTGCCCAGGGTCCCGGTCAAAACATCAGGCCGTTTCTACCCGTCTCCCTGATCTCAGAGCAGTCTGTCTGCAGTAGCCACAGCTTGGTCTTGGCAACACGCGGTGCTCCCTCGCCGATTGCAGGGCCAAGGAGTTGCCCTCTCTTCGCCTCTGGCTCCTCCCCTGGGTGAGGGCCCACCTCTGGAGGTGGAGCAGGGGTGGCTAACACAGGTGAGGCGGATGGTGGGTGTGTGCACCTGCATGGGCGTGGGGGCCGTGCCCGCACTCACTCACCCTGTCCTGCCCCTTTCCTTCCCCAGGGCTCAGGCTCCCGGCCCCATGATGCCCGCCCCTGCAGGACTGGAGCGCCGAGGCCCGAGGCCCCTGCCCGCCATGCCGCTGCCACCTCTGAGCCCGTGCGTGCTCCCGGTGCTGCTGCTGCTGCTGCCGCCGCTGCTCCTGGGGGCCGTGCAGGTGGCAGCGGGCACGCCCAGGCCGGGCGGGGGTCCACAGCCCGCCTTCCGCACCTTCGTGGCCAGTGATTGGGGCCTCACCCACCTGGTGGTCCACGAGCAGACGGGCGAGGTGTACGTGGGCGCGGTGAACCGCATCTACAAGCTGTCGGGGAACCTGACGCTGCTGCGGGCGCACGTGACGGGCCCCGTGGAGGACAACGAGAAGTGCTACCCGCCCCCCAGCGTGCAGTCGTGCCCACACGGCCTGGGCAGCACCGACAACGTCAACAAGCTGCTGCTCTTGGATTACGCCGCCAACCGCCTGCTGGCCTGCGGCAGCGCCTCCCAGGGCATCTGCCAGTTCCTGCGGCTCGATGACCTCTTCAAGCTGGGCGAGCCGCACCACCGCAAGGAGCACTACCTGTCCAGCGTGCGCGAGGCGGGCAGCATGGCGGGCGTGCTCATCGCCGGGCCGCCGGGCCAGGGCCAGGCCAAGCTCTTTGTGGGCACGCCCATCGACGGCAAGTCCGAGTACTTCCCCACGCTGTCCAGCCGCCGCCTCATGGCCAACGAGGAGGACGCCGACATGTTCGGCTTCGTGTACCAGGACGAGTTCGTGTCCTCGCAGCTCAAGATCCCGTCGGACACGCTGTCCAAGTTCCCGGCCTTCGACATCTACTACGTGTACAGCTTCCGCAGCGAGCAGTTCGTGTACTACCTCACCCTGCAGCTGGACACGCAGCTCACCTCCCCCGACGCGGCCGGCGAGCACTTCTTCACCTCCAAGATCGTGCGCCTCTGCGTGGACGACCCCAAGTTCTACTCGTACGTGGAGTTCCCCATCGGCTGCGAGCAGGCGGGCGTCGAGTACCGCCTGGTGCAGGACGCCTACCTGAGCCGGCCCGGCCGCGCCCTGGCCCGCCAGCTGGGCCTGGCCGAGGACGAGGACGTGCTGTTCACCGTGTTCGCCCAGGGCCAGAAGAACCGCGTGAAGCCGCCCAAGGAGTCGGCGCTGTGCCTCTTCACGCTCCGAGCCATCAAGGAGAAGATCAAGGAGCGCATCCAGTCGTGCTACCGCGGCGAGGGCAAGCTCTCGCTACCCTGGCTGCTTAACAAGGAGCTGGGCTGCATCAACTCGGTGAGCCTCGCCGGCCGCGGGCCGCGCGCCCGGGCGCACCTGTCGTGTGCCAGGCCCTGCTCCCGCCATGGCTCCGCGACACGGGGCGGCTCCTCCTCTGCCTCCCTCAAAGCAGGCTCGGCTGGGTGCCTGTCGCTTCAGCCTTTTTAGTTTTTGTTGTTGTGGTTTTTTTTGTTTTGTTTTGTTTTGTTTTGTTTTGGTAAAGATTTATTTATTTGAAAGGCAGCATTGCAGAGAGAGAGAGAAGCAGAAAGAGAGATATTGTCCATCTGCTGGTTCACTCCCCAAAAGGCTGCAAAGCCCGGGCTGTGCCAGGCCACAGCCAGGAGCCAGCAGCTTCATCCGGGTCTCCCACGTGGGTGCAGGGGCCCAAGCGCTGGGGCCATCTTCTGCTGCTTTCCCGTGCGTGTTAGCAGGGAGCTGGGTCTGAATGAGCAGTGGGGACTCACGGGGGATGCTGGCATTGCAGGCAGAGCTAAACTCGCTGCGCCACCGGTCCACCCATTCTGGCTTGTCTCTAGTCTACAACATAGAGAGGTGGGGGGCTTGCCTAGGGTCACGCAGCCAGTAGGTGCAGACCTGGGACCAGACCCTATTGGGCAGGCCCCAGACACCATCTCTGTCGCACTGGTTCCTTCCTCGGGTTTCCTTGGGCTCCGCCGCCCTTGTAGCACTGAGAGTCGCTGACAGGCGTGTGCAGGCTGTGGTCTGTGCCCTTCACAGACGGCGGCCCCAACACTGGGGCTGCCGAGCCACAGCCACAGCCACCCGCCCCCTGTCTCCAGGTGCCGCCCAAGGGTGGGTCTGGTACCAGCCACTGCGGGGGGAGGGTCTCTTCTACCCTCCCGGGCAGCAGGAACCACTGTCTTCCCAAGGAAGACCCCAGGCTCCGAGGGGGCGCGGGCCTTGCTCAGGATCCAAAGTGAGCCCCCCAAGGCCAGGCCTGGGCCCTCCGTGGCTGCAGCCGTCCCTTCTCTGAGCCAGCCTCTGTGGGGCGAGGAGCGAGCTCACAGCCTACCCCGACTCGAGGCTGTTCCTTCCTGTCCGATTGTCACTGTGGGTGTCAGGGTCCCTAGAGCAGCGGGCCTGGCTCCTCCTCCCATCGTCCCCCCAGGTCATGGTTTGGGGGCTGATCGCTCCCCAGGCTGTGTTCCACAGAGGGCCAGATTGGGTGGGTGGGAGCAGAAGAGACGGGCCCCGGCCTGGGGCTGCTTGCCTGAGCCTTGGTGTCTCCGTGTGTCACGTGGGCCCAGGAATCCGTGTTCTGCTGAACTGCGCTGGCTGTGGCTGCGGCTGCGTGCTTGCCTCTCCGCCAGCTGGTGGAGTTGGCCTGGTGCGTTGGGAGGCCCCGGTCCTGGGGGAGGTGTTTGCGGTGTAGTTGTGACGCTCACCCTGTGTCCGCTCCCAGCCCCTGCAGATTGATGACGACTTCTGCGGGCAGGACTTCAACCAGCCGCTGGGGGGCACGGTCACCATCGAGGGCACACCCCTGTTCGTGGACAAGGAGGACGGCCTGACTGCCGTGGCTGCCTACGACTACCGTGGCCGCACCGTGGTGTTTGCCGGGACTCGCAGCGGCCGCATCCGCAAGGTCAGGCCCGGGCGGGCTTGCGGTGCGTCGTGGGGGTGGGTGGGGCTCCCCAGGTGGAGGGGCAGCCTCGCTCTGTGACCTGGGAAGCCGGGGTCTGGGGAGGGCGCGAGGTCTGGCCAGTGCCCGGGGCTGGGCCCAGGGACCTCCAGGGGCTCGGCTCACCAGGGTCTTGCAGGAGCCAAGCCTGCCTGGGAGGTGTCCTATGCCGTGTGCCACGTGCAGGGCCCTGAGACCGAGGGAGGCTTGGGCAGGCCTCCGTCCCATGAGCGAGAACCCTTCAGGGCCCTGGGGTCGGGGATGCCGAGGCCTCCAGAGTGCTCCGTGAGCTCCAGGGAGGCTGAGTGGGGGTGGGGGCAGGGCGGCCCGTGCAGCCCCCTCCCCTCGGGCCCCAGCTCCCGAGCCCTGGCGGATCCGGTGTCTGCTGAGGCAGCACTGCCCTGCAGGAGCCTATGCCTGCGCGAGGCGGCAAGGCCAAGGGCAGGGTAAGGGTATGCACCTGCCCCCACCCTGCCCCGGGCCGCTGCCAGGGGAGTGACGTAGCCAGGCCCTGGAGGGACCAAAGGCCCTGCTCAGGGCCCCTCAAGGCGAGGGGACTGGGGTGGCTTGTGTGTCTCCTTGAGTTCTCTCCCAGAGCGGCATGCCTGTGCTGAGCTGGGCCGAGGGCCGGGCCAGGAAGGCTTCCTGGAGAGTGTGGGCAGAGGGGAGCCGCCCGGGCCCCCTGGCGTGTGGTACCTGGTGGGGACTCGGCTTTAGGGCAGGCCCAGCCGCTAGAGGAGGCTCCGCAGGGGGACGGAAGGGCGGGGGTGCTGGGCGCAGCAGGGCTCAGCGAGCAGGGCGGGCCCGGGGATGAAATAACAGCCGCTGAGGCTGGCGCTGACGCAGCTCGGCCTGCACCCGTGGGTGGGGCCGGGCCTGCCGCCAGCCAGGGCCTCCTGGCCGCTCCGCCTCTGCCGTGGAGGTCGCCCCGGGAGTCAGGTCCGCCGCTCTCTGGGAATTGAACCCCCCACCCCCACACCTAGTCTTCCAGCCTGTGAAATGAACCCAGATGTCTGTGATCTGGGCTGAGCGGCCAGGGGCTGGGGTCACCCTGGTGGGCTCAGCACTGTCCGGTGCCCTCAGCCGGGTCCCGTGTCTGTGGCGTGAGGGCCTTTCCCCGCTGTCCAGTGGGCACGCCCGCTTGGCACACAAGAGAGACACACACACACAGGCTGCGGAGCCGCCCAGGGGCCTGTGGCTCCCCCGCCGTGCGTGTTGGTGCCTGGTGCCTGGTGCCTGGTGCCTGGTGCCTGGTGCCTGGTGCCTGGGGTAGAAGCTGGGGTGCTGTCAGCTTGGAGATGTTCCCACGGGCACCTCCACTCGGCTCCCAGGACTGGGAGCGTCCCCTTTGATGGTGGGTGGGCTGGCGGGGGAGGGGGGCAGACAGGCCCGGTGCCGCCCGCAGGCTCCCGGTGAGGCTGGGAGGACGGGTTCCTCCGGTCCTGACTCCCCTGTGCTCCTGTGCCCGGGCACACCTTTGCCTGGCAGCTTCGGCTGGAGGAGCCCCAGGACGCGGGGGTTCCCTAAATCCCTGCTCGCCGTTGTTCTGCTGCCTCCCCACCCCAGGCCCACAGAAGGGAAACTGAGGCTGGAACCAGGAACCGTGTATTGGTCATGAAGAGGTCCCTCCATGCTTCCCTCCCCCACTCTGCCCCCTTCCCCCTCCAGGCCCGAGGAGGGCCGTGGCCGGGCAGCTGGGGAGGGTCTGTCCTCTGCCGCTGCAGGCCTCTTGCTGACTTGTTTGGGCAGCTGCTGGGGAGTCCAGCTGGGGAGGTCAAGTGTGAGCTCCCCCGAGAGCCCGGCGTTGCTGGTTCAGGCTGCGTGACCCTGGTGGGCCCCTTCCCCACAAAGCCTGGTGCTTTCCGAGGCTCAAGTCCCGGTCCCTGCCGCCCAGGTCCCGGGCCTGGCGACAGCTTCTTCTACCCATAGACCCATGTGGGCTTGTGAGGGCTCAGCCCCCTTGATCGGGTGCCCGGGCTGCTGGCAGGTGGAGGACGGTGGGCTCTGTGAGCACCATGTGTTTGCAGGCCCACCTCCAGGCCCTACTGCCTGCTCCCCTTTCCCCGGGGGGCCCCTGCTGCCGTTGTGAGGGTCTGTGGCGCTGTCGGGTAGCTGCCTCGTGTCTGTGGCAGATCTCGCCCAAGCTCTCCCCTCGCTGGCTTGCAACCTGTGGCACCGCGTGGCAGCCTCCCACCGACCCCTTCCCCGGCTTGACGGATGAGGGAACCGTGGCCTGGGAGGACCTGGCAGTGCCCAGGGCCGCTGGCTCCAGGGTCCTCGCCATCCCTCCCTCTGTGTAGGTCCTTGCAGGAAGGCGCTTGGGGTCTGGCAGAGCTCTCGGGGTGGGGGACGCGCTTCCATGACCCCATCCCTCTCTGAGCGAGCCCAGGGTCTGGGGCAGCTGCTCCTCCGGGAGACCCTCCCCCATGCACCCCCACCCCTGCTGACCTCTGGGGCCTGCCTTTCCCCTGCCTCAGGCCCTCGGCAGCTGCTGCCCTGGCGGGGGTCTGGCTGCCGCGGTGCAGGCCGCCCTGTGGTGCCCTCCGGGCCTCTCCCCCTCATTGGTTCCCACGCCTGCCCTGGCCCTGTAGCCTCCTGCAGGTGCCAACCTAGGCCCTGCCCTGCCCCCACAGCAAGGGACACTGCCCCGGGCAGCAGCACAGGCTGCCGCTTGGCTGGGGCCTGGCAGGAGATTCCGCCCTCTCCCGTCTGCCCTGTGTTGTCCTGACCAACCCAGTGGGCACTGGGTGACAGGGGGCCTGGACCCATCCTGCTGTCCCTCCTGCTTCTCAATCTCTGGGTCTTGGGGAGGAGCCAGGCCTCCGGCTCTCCCCTCCCCCACCGCCTGCCCGCCCCGCCTGCCTAGCCCAGTGGGTGTGGACACCCCACCTTCTGCCGGCTCTCTGGGCTCCCTGGGAACCCCAGCCGCAGCCCGAGGGAGCGGGGCCTGCTGGACTGGCCGCTCCCCCTCTTTCCCGGCCTGCTCCTTCCCCGCTTTAAAAAGCTCCTGGGGAGCTCCAGGGACTTGGCTGGCCCCCGGCCAGGCCCTGCCAAACGTGTTGTTGTGTAAAATTGTAGCCGATTAATTTAAGACCTGCCAACTTCAGCTGCTCGGGGCTGGCTGGGGGTGCCCCTGCCTCCCCCTCCCTTCCCGAGAGCCTTGCCTGCCACCTGCCCTGCCTCCACCGAGGCCGCCTCTCCCTCCCCGGCCTCTCCCAGCACCTCCGCCCCCCAGAGACCCAGCCCTGCCCCTCGTCCTCCAGGGACCCCAGCCTCAGCTTGAGTTCCCAGGGGCAGCCTCTGCTCTGAGCCTTTGGAGTCATCCCAGGTCTCTCGGAGGAAGAGAGCAGACCCCAGACTCCCGCAGGGTGAGTCCCCTCCCCCAGCCCTGCTGGAGCACAGGTGGGCAGAGGCCCTGCCCCAGGCCAGCCTCACACGAGTGTCCGCTGCCCCCGTGGCCCCCGCAGAGCCCAGCGGGGCCTGCTTTGGTGGCTGTGCAGGGCAGGAGCCCAGGCCTGGCTGCCCCGGTGCCCAGTTTTGCAGTTCTGTGTTCTGGGAGAGTGTTTCAGGCCAACTCCAGCGTGCCTGTGGGCCCCCGGCTTGTGGCCGGGACCTAGCCCGTAGCATTTAGCAGCTGGGCACAGGACTCTCAGGGAGCCCAGCCTGCGGTGGGCCTGCCTGGGGGCTGCTGGGAGGCAGGGGTGGGTTGACTGCCCCTCCTCATACGGGCCTGTGACAAGCCATTGCTGCTGTGCTCTGACCCCAGCCGGGCTGCTGTCCCACGCACATGGGCCTTTGTGCTACAGGGTGGCACCTGGCCCCCAAGCTGCCTGCTGCGTACCCCGAGCCCGAGCCCCTGTGTCTCTGTGGCATCCTGAGGGCACTCAGGGAGGTGGGCCCTGTGATGTCTGCATCCTGAGGGCCCAGGAGCCCCATAGCATTAGTTGTGTTGTCCTCAGAGTATTGGGGACCGTGGCTGGTGGCAGGCACAGCTCCACGGAGCACACGTGGGGCCTGGGGCTGGAGAAGTGAGGCCGCCGCCCAGCCCCGTGTCTGCAGCTCCCTCTGCCCGGCCCCTGCTGCGCCCCACAGGCGGCTCTATCTGCTCCTCCTGCTCGTGTCCGCGGAGCACCTGCTGAGTGCTGCCCCGGGCCTGTGCTGGCCGGAACCTCGCGTGCTTTCGGCTCCTCTGGGCGGTTCTGACCCATGTGTGAGCGTGCACAGATGAGCGGGTGTTGCAGGGAACAGCTTGGGGCGCAGCCGCCACCTCTGGGGCTGCTGTGTGTTTGTGACTTCCTGTAGGCCTAGTCCTCCTTGGCTCAGCCTCGCCCCTCGTGCTGTCAGTAGCTGTGATCTGCGCCTATCCAGGGCGTCCCTCCACTCTGGACGGACATGGTGCCATTTCCTGCTACCATGTGCGTGGACCCCGGTGAAGGCAGGTGTGAAGCCCTATTGGATTTCCACCTGGGTCTCCGTCACCCTTCTAGCCTGACCCCCTTGGAGGACTAGGGGAGGGCCTCTGGCCATGCCTGGCAGGTCTGTTTATGTCCACCGACTGTGGTCATTGATGGGAAGTGGCGGGGACCCAGTTGTCACTGTCCCGTGGGTGGGTGGGTGGGGCAGTCTGCTGGGTAGGGTTTTCTAACTCAGAGGTGCCTCAGTGCATGCTGGGAACCAAGCCATGCCCTGGCTGGGGTGTGGAGGCCTTGGGTGCTGCTCCGGGCACCTGGTCTGTGTGTGATGGGTCAGTTTGCTGGCGACCCCATGGTGGTCTGCCTGGTGGCGGCTGGGAGCCAGAGAGTGTGGATGGAGCTTCTGTCTGCCGTGAGTGACGCTGAGGGTCAGTGCTGCGGGGCCTTGAAGTCACAGGAGAGAGGTGGGTGGGAGGGCCAGCGGTGCTGGCTCAGCAGCCCCCACTGGGACCCCGAGCTGGTTGAATCCTGGGTTGCCGTGGGGACCCCAGCAAGTCCTAGGTTAGGACAAAGTCTCAGTGATGTGGGTGGAAGCTGTGCCAACCGCCCCGGCTCGTGGCCTCTGCTACAGCAGGTGCAGCCCTGTCTCCAAGCAGTTCTGCCTCCCAGCTCCCGAGTTCTCCCCCAGACCTGTGCCGCAGAGGAGGGTCCTGCTGGAGCCGTGCGCAGCCCGTCTGGCAGCCTGGCTCCTGCCACCTGCAGGACCCTGACCTCGATGCCTCCAGCTCTCCTTTGTGTGCTGGGGGTTGGGGATAGGAACGACGGGATTCCTGGGACACCCCCCCCCCCTTGCCAGGTGTGTCTGGCCCAATTACAGCCATCAGGCCTCCTGCAAATCACGTTTTAATTACCCAATTACTGCGAGAGGAAATCACTAATTGCTTTTTCAGTATCAAATTCCTCCTGGCCTTTCTGAAAATGGGGGTGGGTGGGGGTCCCAGGAAGGGGGCCTGGAACCGGCCCCAGCCTGGGGAGGGGGAAGCTCATTGAAGGGGAGAGGGGAGGAAGGGCTCAGGAACCGCCGTGGGCTGGGGGCGGCTCGGCAGTTGCATTTACACAAAGGGCCAGGAGGGCCGTGAGGCCCCGGCTGCTGCCTGCCTGTCCCTCCACCCCCGGAGACAGAATCAGCTCGGGCAGTGCACCCCACTTCATGGCATGGCGGGGAGGGGTGGGGGTGCATCGTGGGCCAAGCTCCCTGGCTGCCATCAAGGAGTGGGCAGAGCAGAGGGCTTCTCCCTCCTAGGTCGGGGCCAAGCTGGGCAGCCCCCTGCCTCCGGGCGGCTAGGGCGCGTGCCGACCTTGGCACTCAGCCTGGACGGCCCAGACATCCTCCTCGGCACCCCCGCCTGCCCTCAGCCCAGAGAATGGGCCCTTTGTTGGCTCTGGACTGGATGGACAGCTGACCTGGCCAGGCCGTCAGCTGCCCGCTGCCCGCAGCAGTTGGCCAGGACCGTGGCAGTGATGGGTGCTGGGCAGCCGGCAGGACCAGCCTGGGACTTCGGTCCCCAGGACCGGGGCCTCCCTTGACCAGTAGCTGCTTTCCTTTAGCCCCGGGTGGGGAACGGCCCCCACATGGGGACAGGTGCTCAGTTCATGCTAAGCTCATTGCCTGGGCTGGCACTGTCCCTGAGAAGTCAGTGGGGCCTGGCTGCTGCCTGGAGAGGATGGTTGCCCTTGACCCTCAGCTCAGAATCCAGGGTCAAGTCCCCAGTGTAGAGATGGGACAGAGGGACCCAAGGGCTGGAAGAGCCAGGCAGAGACCCTGAGCTGAAGGGGGATGGGTGCCCAGGGCCAGCACGGGCTGCTGGGCATCCCCAGGGAGGCTGGGGGCTCCGTGGACGCCATCTGTGAGAAGGGCGGATCATCAGCAGGCCACGGCTCAGGGAGCAGGACTCTGTGAACAAGGCCAAGTCCCCCCATCCAAGGGTGCTGTGTGAGAGGGGGCAGAGGGCTGTTGGGGCCACCAGTCTGGGCGATTTGCAGACCCAGGAGGCGGCAGACAGCTGGGGGCGGGCAGGGTACCTGGGCGTGGCCCAGCCTGGCTCGAAGCTTGCGCCCCTCACTTGCTCTGCCAGCTGCCCAGCTGCTCCAGGGAGAAGCCTGCTGGACCCAGCTGCTTCGAGGGTGGGCTGCACCCAGGTGGGTGGCCCTAGAATGGACAGCTGGGGACTGGGGGTGTGGACGTCGGCACGCACGCTCCCAGCCAGCCGGCGTGTGCCCTGCTGGCCCTGTGCCTGCCCTGCGCTGCCTCTCTCCTGGAATGCCCTCCTGGCAGGGTGTTGGCTCTCCTCCCGCTTCTGGCATAGACTCTGCCCACCAGGTGCAGCTGTGGGAGCCTTGGTTTACTTCCTGGCCCTGTAGCCGGGACACGGCGAGCTTGTCCAGTCACACCCTCCCCATATGGTGTGTACACAGGGCCTCCGTAACGAGTGTGTGCACACAGACAGCCCGGACGGTGGCTGCTCGGCACGGGGCATGGGGCGTCGCCTGCGGCACATGCACCCTCCAGGCCAGCAGGCTGCTTCCCCGATGCCTGCCTGCTCTGTGCCCCAGAAATGCCCTGTGGCCATCAGTGGCCCCTCCCCAAGAGTTGGCCCCTGCTGGGGTCCTGTCTGCCTTTGCCTCTGTAGGGGTGGGGGTGGTGTAGTGCAAGGCAGGTGGGCGGACAGATGGGTGTGCGGCGACGGACAGCTGGATACGCGTGCCCCCAGCTGCAGCTGTCGGGTGCCACCTGTCCCAGTCGGCACTCTGCCTGGGGAGGGGGGCATTCCGGAGCCAGGGCTCAAGTTGCGTCTTCCTTCTCCTGTAGGCTGGGGGAGGAAGCCTGCTCGTCACCCAGCCCCACCCACCCTCTAGGCCTTGGCGCTGCTCTGCCCTGACCTTGCCCTTCTCTACTGCGTTCTCTCTATCCCCTGCTGCATGGGGGTGCCCCTCGGAGTGACCTGTGGGCCCCCAGCCCTGGATGGGGAGAGGGCTAACAGGCTGGGCAGTGCTTGGGCCAGCATCACGTGGCCGCTGGTGGTGGGCAGGGTGGCAGGAAGTTGATAGCTCTTACACTGTGCCACTTTTGGGGTGCCTCCCGGGGTCCGGTCCCACATGCTGGGGGAGGGGCGAGGCTTGGGATGGGTGCTGAGTGAGACGGGTCAGGCTTGGGCCGCTGTGGGGGGCATCTGCAGGATCGGGGAGACGGGGTAAGAGGGGGGAGGTCCCAGAGGCTTCTGGATTGGAAACTGGGTCTCCATGCCCTGCCCCTTGCCCAGGCTGTGTCCTGCTCTCACCTCCAGCTCCTCCGGGGTGTGTGACGGCTGTGGGGCCCTGGGGGCCCCGTGTGCCGCCCTCCCTCTTCCCCTCCTGTGACTCAGAACTGCCCTCCCCCAGGAAGGGGTGTCCATCATCCCCATCCACAGCTAGGGAAACAGAGTCAGGGAGAGGCTCAGCGCCCCGCCTGGGTCCCACTGCTGGAGTCATGGGGGTCTCGGTGCTCGCTGCGTCTGACCCAGCTCCTGTGAGCAGTGCCTGTCACAGCTGCGGGGTAGGGGTCTGTGGAGCTGACCCCCTCAGCGCCTTTGCCGTGGTCACGGAGGATCGGCCACACAGCCGGCAGGCCGGGGTGGACGCGGGCGGGGTGGGTGGGCCGGGCGCGGGGCTGGCCCCCGTGCCGCCTCCCAGTGGTCCCAGAGGCCGCAGGCTGAGGTAACCTGGCAACTGTGGCCCAGCCCCTGCAGGCGTCCCAGCCGGGCCGGCCTGGGGCCTCCTCCCCTGCCCTGCTCTGGGCTCCCTCTTCCGGGTCTGGTTTGACTTAAGTCTGCTTGGTGGGGAGGCAGCTGAGCGGATGTGGGGGGTGGCCCTGAGCTCTCAGGAATGCGGCCCTCCCCCTCTCCCACAGCCCAAAGCCTCTGGCCCGGAGACACAGCGCCCCACCCTGGCTGGCCGCCCTTGGCCCGGCCCAGGCTGAGCCGGCTCTGGCCCTGACACCAGCAGACCTGCCCTGTCCTGTCACTGCGGGGGCTTCCAGGAGGGGTCCTGTGCCCTGTGCGAGGTGGCGACGGTGGAGGTGGAGGAGAGGGGGGCCGGGCGGTGACACCGGAGGCGGGCGCAGGCCTCAGGCCTGGTGCCCGGGAGAGCCTGCCCTGCCTGGGACCAGTGAAGCAGAGCCAGACCCGGAGCCAGAGCGGAGCCAGAGCCGGAGCCGGGCTGCCGCGCCCCGGGAGCCCCATCTCTGGAAAGCCCCCTGGGTCTCTCTGTTAATTAAATACATTTGTTTGGTAAAAGCAACTAAAAATACTTGCAGCCTAGCAGGCTGCAGCGGAGAAGGCTGGCCAATTAACGCCCAGTCTGTTTGGGATCAGGAATATATTTCCATGCCAATAAGACGCCTGCCCTCCGCCTACCCCTGGGGGCTGTCCCCACCTCCGGCACAGCCTGGAGCCGCCCCCCCCCCCCACGAGATTTTCTATCCTGTCCGGGCTCTTGGTTGGCCCAAGAATTTGCTTTTGAAAACTTCTAAATGTTCTGATCATAATTTGATAAAGGGGGTCTCTCCTCTGGGGCTCCTGCAGCCTTTGCCCTCAAACGGCCACGTGGCTCCGTGGTGGGGGCTGACCCCCACCCCGCGGAGGCCCCTGCCCTAGGTTCTGGCCTCTGCAGACTGTTAAAAGCCTGGGGCTGGTGTTGGGCCAATGAATGTAGCGCAGGAGGGGCTCCAACGCAGGCCCCCGCGGGGGTGGGGCCGGGGCAGCAAAGACAGTGACCTAGTGCCACTCAGGACCCCTGCCGCCACAGATCCTGGTGGACCTCTCGAACCCTGGCGGCCGGCCGGCTCTGGCCTATGAGAGTGTGGTGGCCCAGGAGGGCAGCCCCATCCTGCGCGACCTGGTCCTCAGCCCCAACCGGCAGTACCTCTACGCCATGACAGAGAAGCAGGTGGGTGCCACTGTGGCCACGGCGTGTGGCCACTGGGGAGCTGGGGGAGGGGTGGGCCCTGGGTCGTGACTGACTTCTCTCAAAGGGTGCCCACTGCGGCCTGGCAGAACTGGTTGGTGTGGGTCTCCGTGTGCACTAGGGCAGTGTGAGGGCTCCAGGGTCAGCGACAGCCTGGGCTCCGCGGGCCTGTCCTGGGGGAGCGGCGTGGGTGAGATGCCCCGTCCCTAATGCTGCCTCCAGATCCGCCTGGCCCAGGCTCCCGACAGTGGAGACCATAGCGCTTCCAAGCGTGGCGGTCCTGCAAGGTTTGGGCTATGGACCCAGGGCCCCCAGGTTCTCAGGCCTGGAGCCAGGATGCTGGGGCTAAGGCCCGGGCTCTTTGTCCAGTGGGAGCCGTGGCCGTGGCCTTAGGGACTGGCCCATGTGGAGCCGCCTCTGCCCTCTGCTGTGCCGTGTGGAGGGTGGGTCGGCACAGGCACCAGTCCAGGCAGTGCCAGGCCTGCCTCCCCTTTTAGCCACACTTGCTTCTCTCTGGCTTGTCCTGAGCTCAGGGGGCTCTGCTGTCCCCCGGCCTCCCCGGTGCTCCCTGGGCCTCTGTGGATGCTGGGAAGCCAAGCTGAGCAAGCGCGATCCAATGCCCGGAGCCCAGCCTGCCTGGGCCCACCTTAGCGCTCAGGGCTCGCCTGTACTTGTTTGGGGTAGGGTCCTGGAGCGCGCAGAACACGGGGAGAGGGGGGGTGGCCTGGAGAGGCCTGACCCTGTGGCCCCTGCTCCAGGTGACTCGGGTGCCCGTGGAGAGCTGCGTGCAGTACACGTCCTGCGAGCTGTGCCTGGGGTCGCGGGACCCCCACTGCGGCTGGTGTGTCCTGCACAGCGTGTGAGTAGGGGTGGGCAGGCTGCGGGGAGGGGGGCCACAGCTGTGCCCCCCAGGTGGTCGCGGCTCCCTTCTGAGTACTTCTGGGTCTCAGCCAGACCAGAAGTAGGGACGTCACGGCGGGGAGGGGTGCTGCGGGCATGGCACCATCCTTGCCGCCCCGGCCTGGGGTCTCCCCTCGGCCCCAGCCTCAGCACCCTGTGCCCGCAGCTGCTCGAGGCAGGACGCCTGTGAGCGGGCCGACGAGCCCCAGCGCTTCGCCTCGGACCTGCTGCAGTGCGTGCAGCTGACCGTGCAGCCACGCAATGTGTCCGTCACCATGTCCCAGGTCCCGGTGAGCCCCGCTGCCCCCGGCGACTGGGAGGGTGGGGGTGGGGTGGGCCGGGAGCGCCCTGCTCACCCACACTTCCTGCCTGTGGGACGCAGCTCGTGCTGCAGGCCTGGAATGTGCCCGACCTCTCTGCCGGCGTCAACTGCTCCTTCGAGGACTTCACCGAGTCCGAGGGCCTCCTGGAGGACGGCCGCATCCACTGCCGCTCGCCCTCTGCCCGGGAGGTGGCGCCCATCACGCGGGGCCAGGGTGAGCACCCTGTCCGTGCCTGGACAGCCTTGGGGTGGGAGGGAGGATTCGGTCACTCCTGACACGCCGAGCACCCGCCCGTCTGATCCCAAGCACATGTTTTATGCAAACTGTGACACCCGTTGTCTGAGGGGCTTGCTGTTCCTCTTGGAGCTGATGAGGCTCCCATGCCATAGGTGGACGGTCCTTGGGGGACAGTGGATGGGTGTCGTGTCATGAGCCCGGCGGGCAGTGGGGGCAAAGCTGGAGGCCGCTCAGGGAGCTGTGTGAGGTCGTAGGTCAAGTGCGAGAGATGGGCTGGCGGAGCACAGGACCCCTCCCAAATAGCCTGGGGGTTGGGAGCCATACTATCCCCACCTCTTCCTGCCACTGAGCAGGAAGCTAGCACAGGGGGCGGAGGTCCCAGGCCCCTCGTCCCCCGAGGGCCTGAGGAGGGGTCCTAGCCTCGCACTCAGTGAGGCAGCGGGGCAAGTCCCCCCCCCACCCCCCGTCATGAGAAATCTCGGCCGTGGCGACCCCGGCCCTGCTGCTTCTGCAGGAGACCAGCGCGTGGTGAAGCTGTACCTGAAGTCCAAGGAGACGGGGAAGAAGTTCGCGTCCGTGGACTTCGTCTTCTATAACTGCAGCGTCCACCAGTCGTGAGTGTCCCCGGGCCCCCTGCCCTGCCCCAGGGGTCACGTTGCCCTGCTGTGGCTGGTGTCTGTGTCCAGGGCTCCTGCAGCCAGGTGGTCAGGGAGGGAGGAGGGGCTGCCGTGGGAGCAGCCTGCCTGGTGGGAGCACCAGCAAGTGCAGGGCTGCCGGGGCTGGGGAGGTGGGGGCTAAGGCTGGGGTACGCGTGTCCACGGCAGAGCCACCCCCTAGGAGCGGCGGGTGTGCCCTCGGGCATGGGCATGGGCTCTGGGTGGCTCTGGAGCCCTGGGCAGGAGCGTGACGTGCACCCACTCACACGTGTGACGTCTCGTGGGCCAGGGCTGGTGCAGGGGCCCAGGCACAGCCGCCAAGTGTCTGGTGCTCCTGGGCCCAGTGCCAGCTGCTGGACAGCAGCGTCCCCGGGTCTCCTGCGTTCATGCTGGCCTGTCTCAGGGCCCCTGGCTGCGGCCTGTGGACCAGGGTTGGGCCTCGGCTGTGGTTTGGCTGGGAACACCCCTACTCCCAGCGGAAGACGGGAGAGGCCGTGGGCCTACTGAGGGCCCCACTGTGAGCCAGGCAGTGGGTCTGCCTCGGGCCTGGGGTGAGGCGGGCGGGTGGCGGGGAGCCCCCAGCAGGCAGGGGGTTGGAGGTGGGAGCTGCCTGGTTTCTCAGCCTTGCCTTTTACTGTTGACTGTCAGAGAGATGCCTGCAGAGCTCTGGACGGAGCCCCTGCTGGGTCAAGGCAGGACTTTCATCTCCAGGGTGCAGCTTCTCTGGTCCTGGGTGGTGAGGAGACCACCAGGGGCCGGAGACTGCACTGGCAGAGGACTGCAGGGGCGTGGAAGGAGGAGAGGGGCAGGGCGGCCGGAGCAGCTGGGAAATCCTGGGGGCCAGGTGGCGGCAGCGTCCTGGAGGCTGAGTTGTGGTCGGCCCAGTGGGCTGAGGACCTCATGGCCGGGCCAGAGGGCAGTAGAGAGCTCGTGGCCTGGGAGGAGACACGTACCACGGCCCTGCTGCTCGGGGCTGGGGAGCCCTTTGCTGCCGCGCCCAGATCTCAATTCTGTAGGAGAGGAAACCCAGTGCAGCGCCTTTGTCACCCAGATGCATCTGTGGTGCTAATAGCCACATGTGGCTCCGTGGCAGGCAGAGCTGGGAGAGGACGTCCCGTGGTCGCAAAGACCCCACAGGAGAGAGCGGCCAAGAGGGGGCAGCACTGGACGGGGGTGCTCTGCGGAGGCCCGGGTGCAGCAGTGTGCAAGTTGAAGGGAGGAGCGCTGCGGGCCTGGAGCGGACAGTGCAAAGGCCCTGAGGGCCACGGGGCAGCACGGGCCGGCTCCCCAGGCCTCACCCCCTGCCCCATTCCCCCGCAGCTGCCTGTCGTGTGTCAACGGCTCCTTCCCCTGTCACTGGTGTAAATACCGCCATGTGTGCACGCACAACGCTGCTGACTGCGCCTTCCTGGAGGGCCGTGTCAACATGTCCGAGGTAAGGCCAGCCGCGGCTGGGGCTCGGGGCTTTGGAGGGGGACTGCCCTGCACGGGTGTGGACTGAGGACTGGGCTGTGACGTCAGCACGTTGTCCACATCTCACAAGGAGCGGCCGGGCCGGTCACTATGGGAGGAGGCTGCACTCTGGGCCCGACGGTGCTGGGGGTCAGAGATGTTACCCTGAACAGTCAGTGGTCCCCAAGTTCTTCTGTGGCCCTTGGGAGTCTGAGCCCCCCTCATCTGGGGGGCTGCAGGCTAAAGGGCGACCTGGAGGGGGCTGTGAGGAAGGCGCTTGTCCAAGACCCAGAGCCCGCGCAGGCGCGAGGGGCCTGGCCAGGTTAACGTGTGGGCGCCTGTGGGCTGCTGGAGCCGTGAGGAGTGCTGTGTGGCAAGTGCCTGTGATTATGCAGTGATCACCCTGGAACCCGGCGAGGCGCTGGCCTGACCTCGGAGCAGCAGGCAGTTCCTTCTGGAACCTGCCGTCTCAGAACCAGCAATGGGGCAGCCTGGGGCTTGCCAGGCACGCCGCGGTGGGAGGTTGAGGCCCTGGTCTGTGAGGCCCCTGTCCAGCTTCTGGGTGTAGAGCCGGGGCTGGACAGGGGAGGGGGACGGGTCCCAGGTCCCACCCTCGCGGGGCACCTGGAGTTGCAGCTGATCTGGGTTCCCCAGAGGGCCTGGAGCGAGGGAGTGAGAGTGAGTTCCAGGTGGGCAGGGGGACTGGTGTGCGTGTGGTCCCCTTCGTCCCCGGGATCCCCTCCTCACAGAGGCCTCGCCTGGCCACCCCCGCCATCCCTCTCTGCTGGGTGCTTCTGCTCCCCGGCGTGTTGCCATGTTAGGGGACGAGATGGCAGCAGAGGGAGGCCTGGCAGCTGGCCGAGTGGGGACGCTGGGACGATGGTGCTCATGCCAGCAGGTGGCGGGGAACGCCAGGACACTTGGGAGTGCAGCCCGTCCACAGAGCCTGAGCAGGGCATGCTGGGGCAGGTAGGGGCCTGAGCTGCTGGTGATGAGTGGGCGTGAAGTCACTGAGGGTGTGGCTGGTCCTGGATGGAGCCCCGGGCAGCAGAGTGGCCTAGTGAGGCAGGGCGAGAGTCCAGCGGGGGTGTCTGGACGCCAGGGTGGCCCTGCTCCTCAGTGACAGCTGTCCCTGACCCCGGCCCTGTCCAGGCCACCAGCTCAGCGCCCTCAGAACAGGAGGAAGTGGCCCCTGGGGACCTTGGAGGGCTGGGAAGGGGGGCCAGGAGCAGAACCCCTCCGAGTCTGCGTGTGCGGGGGTGCGGGATTATATGGATGAATTCCTTCCACACAAACTCCCGCTTCTCTTTAGTGTAGTCCGGGGTTTTCGTGTGTGACACGGATACAAACGGCGACACAGCCGGGTGACGCCGAGGACACCTCCGCTGCATAATGTGGGCCCCTGCTCCTCAAGCCCCCTCCTCCCTGGAGGCTCCCGGGGGCTCCTGGCTGACCTCTCACGGAAGCCCGCCTGGGCCTGCTCTGTGGTTTCCTTGCCCAGCCTCTGTTGAAACCGTTGAGGTCCAGTGCCCTGTGCCCTCGGCAGAGCCAGGGAGGTCGGCCCTGTGCCTCCTCCCGCAGTGGCCCTGTCCCCACTGCCAGGCCTGGGACCTCGGGTTTGGGGCGATGAGAGTTTCTAGCAGTGCTTGTGGGCGGATTGAGGTCGGGAGTCCTTACCTGATCGGTCGGTCCTAGGACTCCGGCTGTTTTACTCCCCCAGGACCCCTCGCCTGGTCCCCTTGAGGAAGGCCCCCGGTGCCGGGCCCCACACGCACACCAGTCCCCCTGCCCGCCTTCCCCGTCCCCCTGCCCGCCTTCCCTGGAGCCACTGGCTTCTTATTGGGGTCTCTGTGCCACCTTGGGGGAAGGAGGCACAGCTTTGGGAACTGCTGGGCACAGGCCCTGCACTGACTCACTGCCCCATGGCCCCGTGGCCGCAGGAGCTGGGAGGGGAGGCGCTCTTGAGAGAGAGTGCGAGCTGCCCTCCCCCTCACAGCGGTGCCCCCGCCGGCCTGTCCGTGCTTGCTTCCCGAGTCCTGGAATGCACAACTGGAAGATAACGCTGTGCAGGGTGCCAGGGAGGAGGCGAAGACCCGGGTGGTGGGAACAAGACAGGAGGGGCAGCGGCAGGGCCCAGGTGGGACTGCCGCCCAAGCATGGTGGTCAGCCTGGGGGCTGGCCGTGGTGAGGGACAGACCTGGGCAGGAGGCAGGCAGCTCCGTGTTGGCTGGGCTCCAGCTGGGCGTGTCTGCCCTTAGCTGCTGCGTTTGCACCTGGAGGTGGGGGGTGATGTGGGCGGGGGGCCAGGTTCCTGGGCTGAGCCCTGGCTGGGACCTCCTGCCGGGTGAGCCCGCACTGGGTCTCCTGCCTCCAGCCCAGAGGTTTCTTGGACTCTTGGACACTAAGGAGAGCCAGGCCTTGCCACAGTCACCCTCTGGCTTCCTGCAGGATGGGCCACCTGGGGTCGTCAGTGTTCCCTGGCTAGAATGGGCAGTAGCAGCAGCTCAGCTGCTCCTGGGGGCTCCGGGGGAAGCCTGGGCCTCAACCAGAAAGGAATCCGTGACCCAAGGTCCTCAGGTGCAGGGTGGGCCCTGTCACGGGAGACTCCAGCCTGCGTCTCACTGGGTGCCCTGCAGTCCGGGGCCCTGTCCTTGCTGCTGTATCCTTGCTACAGCTGCTGCAGGTGCAGCCCCGGGTTGGAGCCAGGGGCCATGGGACACCGAGCATCGCTGCCCACCAGCAGTGGTGCTCAGCTGGGCCAGGCTAGCTCTGCTCCCCTAGAGCCCCTGAGAAGCCGACGCGGAGTCACGCCCCTCCTGGGGCCACCGCAGTCGCTGCAGAGCTGGTCCCCGGCGCGCACCGCCCTGGGAGCTGCTGGACGGCTGGGGACTACAGGCTGTTTTCAGCGTCCCTATTTAAAGCACGGCTCCGGCACTCCGGCTCCCGAGGGGCCGGCTCTCCCGCGGCTGCCGCAGCCGTGCTGCAAGGAAGCCGGGCCATTGCATCAGTTATTGTTGCCGAAACACCGGCCCCGGGGGCCCAGCTGTTTTTCTGCAGGGCTCTGGCTATTTTTACATGCCCTGGGGCCCTCAGTGGAGAGCCTGTGGCCCCACTGCCCCACTCCTGGCTGCTTTCGCCTCCAGGGCCTTGCCAGCTGTTGGCCAGCTGGGGCCTGTCGGTCAGTAGGATGGTGGTGGGTCCCAGAGCATGGGTCAAGCACCCTGGGGCCGGAGGAAAGAGGGCCTGCCCTGGCCGGTCAGTGGGCAGCTGCAGCCTGCCGGTGAGCAGAAGCTGGGCCTCCTGCCCCTGCCCTCCCGACCGTGTGCCCCTCAGGTTGCCCGTGGGTAAATAGGTAGTGGGCTCTGTGCAGACTGCAGTCCCAGACGCAGTAGGGTCTGTCCAGCCCGGGCTCAGCCGCACTCTCTTGCCTGCAGGACTGCCCGCAGATCCTGCCCTCCACCCAGATCTACGTGCCCGTGGGCGTGGTGAAGCCCATCACCCTGGCTGCCCGGAACCTGCCGCAGCCACAGTCAGGCCAGCGTGGCTACGAGTGCCTCTTCCACATCCCGGGCAGCCCGGCCCGTGTCACTGCCCTGCGCTTCAACAGCTCCAGCCTGCAGTGCCAGAACTCCTCGGTGAGGCGGGTGGGAGCAGGCGGGGGCGGGTGGGGGCCCGCACGCGCCGGAACGGGCCAGGGCACAGGGGCAGGTGTGCTTGGATGAGAGAAGGCACTGCCTCCGGTGTGCCTGGGCTGGGCAGGTGAGGGGCTGCCCGGTTCCTTGTGGCTGTTGAGAGCCCCCTGGCGTTTGGTCCCTGGGGGAGAGGGCAAGTGTAGCGAGCCCTGATGGGATCGCCTGACTCTTCCATGGACCACGGGTCACTCTGTGCAGAAGCGACCGGGTGCCTGCCAGCCATTGTCACCCGACTCCAGGAGAGCCGAGGTCAGGGTGCCAGAGCCCATCCACTCCCGTGTGCCGTGGCCAAATGCAGGAACTGCTCGCGTCAGTCTGCATTTGTCTGTTAGCAGATGGGCGTTGCCCGGGCACCAAGGACATGCCACACTCGGGGCTTCCAATGCAATACGGTGACGCTAGGAACGCTCTGAGTGTCGTGATGGATGATCCACAGGGCTGTGCCCTCTCCTGCGGGGCGCAGGGGGTGGAGGCCGGCGCCGAGACTGCCGGCTGGCCTCACTGTCCCCACCAGTGCAGGAAGGCTGCAGTCAGGAGAGAGGATCTCCTGGGGTTTTCTTGGGCCCTGATTGGTGGGGTGGCTGGCCGTGTGCTGTCACGCTGGTCCCTGAGTTGTCAGCAGGGCCTTGCTCGCCCCCCACCCTGTGGAGTCCCAGGGGTGGGATCCCGATGAGGTCAGAGGGCGGACTCCTGCGGCCTCGCAGCTGACTCTGGTCCATCCTAGAGGGGTGGGGTAGGATCTGGGGGGTGGCGCCGGCTTCCTGGGGTCAGGGTGGGCTGAGGGTCATCTCTGCCCCTGTCCTGGAGCTCCCCCCGCCTCTCCGGTCCCGGGCTTTCTCTGTCACCTCTCTTCTCTGCTCGCTCCGTCTCCACGGCCCCCTCCTCCCCGCGTGTCTTGCCGGCTGCCTGTCTCTGCCCTCCCCCCCCCCGTGGCTCCCCAGCCGGCACCTCTGCTGCCCCCTCCCCCTTCCTTCCAGCTTCACATTTGTCTTTCCGTCAGCCGCAGTTAAAGGGAAGAGGGAGTATCGGGGACTTTGATGGGATCCAATTAAATGCCTGCGATAAACCCAGGATGAATTGCCAGCCTGGCCCTTGGAGAGGCTGGGCTCCCTGCCTCGGCCCCAGGCAGGGGCGCCGCTGAGGTCCTCACCTGCGCAAAGTGGAGCACAGCGGGGGCGCCTGGGGAGGGGCCAGGAGGTGGGGCTGCCCTGGCCTGTTCAGGAGCTGGAGGTACAGAGGTTCACAGAGCACCCCGATCTGTTCCCCAGGAGCCCAGCGGGGAGCCCTGGTTCCTAGGGGGGCTGCCTGCAGGTAATTGTGGGACTGAGCACTCCTGGTGGTTAGAGGGGGTCCCCAAGGAGCCCACCTTGGGAAGCAGGGAAGTCGTGGCTGCTGGAGACATGCCGGCTGCAGGTTGGGGCGCCGTGGGACCCAAAGAGACGGGGCCAGGCGCGGGGGGCTGCTGTGGGAGTTGGGCTCTCAGCAGGAAACGCCAGTCTCGCCGGCAGCCTGGGTGCTGGGCCCTCCCGAGCCTCCCAGCCCAGCGTCGCTGACCCCCTGCCGCAGCCGGGAGCGGGCAGTCGCGGCCCCAGCCTGACCTGCCGCGTGCTTGCTGCCCACAGTACTCCTACGAGGGCAATGACATCAGCGACCTGCCTGTGAACCTGTCTGTCGTGTGGAACGGCAACTTCGTCATCGACAACCCTCAGAACATCCAGGGTGAGCAGGGGCCGGCCGGCCCTGCTGCGGTGGGGGTGGGGTGGTGGGCCGGGCCGGGCTGACCGCACCCCGCTCCCCACTCGCCGCAGCCCACCTGTACAAGTGCCCGGCCCTGCGCGAGAGCTGTGGCCTCTGCCTCAAGGCTGACCCCCGCTTCGAGTGCGGCTGGTGCGTGGCCGAGCGCCGCTGCTCCCTGCGCCACCACTGCCCGGCTGACTCGCCTGCCGCCTGGATGCACGCCCGCCACGGCAGCAGCCGCTGCACGGACCCCAAGATCCTCAAGGTAGGCCCTGCCCGCAGCGGGACCCCCGCTGGACTCGAGCCCCGCCCGGTCCCTGCCCCGCTCAGCCCGCCCGCTCTGCCTCGCCGCAGCTGTCCCCAGAGACGGGCCCGAGGCAGGGAGGGACGCGGCTCACCATCACCGGGGAGAACCTGGGCCTGCGGTTCGAGGACGTGCGTCTGGGCGTGCGCGTGGGCAAGGTGCTGTGCAGCCCCGTGGAGAGCGAGTACATCAGCGCCGAGCAGTGAGTACCCGGGGGGGGGGGGGGGGGGGGCAGAGGAGCCAGCTGGGCTTGCCCTGCGCAGTCACTGAGGTCGCCCCCTGCCTGCAGGATCGTCTGCGAGATCGGGGATGCCAGCACGGTGCGGTCCCACGATGCCCTGGTGGAGGTGTGTGTGCGGGACTGCTCTCCCCACTACCGGGCCCTGTCGCCCAAGCGCTTCACCTTTGTGGTAAGTCTACTGACGGCCGCTCAGGGCTGGCCTGGGGTCCCCACGTCCAGGCATGGTGGGCTCTTCCGCAGTCTGCACTGTGCCTATTCCAGGGCTACCCCCCGCCCCGCCCTCCCTTCCCCACCGCACCGGGCCCTGGAGCATGTGGGCAGCTCCTGGTCTGGCGACACAGAGGGCAGTGCAGGCGGGCAGAGCAGGCCTGACCGCTGTGGCCCGGGAGCGCCGACAAGCCCCTCTTCCTGCAGACACCAACCTTCTACCGCGTGAGCCCCTCCCGCGGGCCTCTGTCGGGGGGCACCTGGATTGGCATCGAGGGCAGCCATCTGAATGCGGGCAGTGACGTGGCCGTGTCTGTCGGCGGCCGGCCCTGCTCCTTCTCCTGGTACGGAATGCGGGTGGGAGTGGGGGGCTGGGGCACTGCTTGCCCTCTGCTGCTGGTGGTTGGGGGCCAGGGCTGTACCTCCTGGTTCAGATGGCTGTGCGCCCCCTCCCGTTGCCTGGGAAACGGGGGTATGGAGTGCTGGCTGGGGTGATCGCTATGGAAACCCAGAGGCGGGAGAAGGTTACCATGGAGACAGAGGCTACCTCCACAGTGGGAAGAGGGAAGGAGGGAGGGGGCAGTGGGTGGGCGGGGCCTGGCTTCCCAGAGGCGGGCGCTACCTGGCTGCCACCACCCTGGGCCTTCCCTGGGAGCCGGGGATTCCCTTGGGAACAAAATAAGCCGTGTTTAAGAAAAAATTTTAAGAGAGAAAACAGAAATCTTAACAAAAGCCCTGAGGCTTGAAGTGGATAATTTTAGATTAGGGATGATGATGGCGCGGCCCTGCGGTAATCACCCGTTATCAGGCTCATCACTGGCGTTTGCAGCCAGGGGGCCTGGTGGCTGTGGGGCTTCCCCGCTGTGGGGAGGGAGCCGAGGGACCCTGAGTGAGCCTCACTGCCCAGGGGGTGACCGGTGACGGGTGACCATCGCCCCAGGAGGCTCGCTTGTCCCCTGGCGGTCCAGGGACTCGGGGAGGAAGACGAGGCACAGGGAGGGAAGGTGTCTGTCCCAGCCAGATGTGGGAGTTGGCCCTGAACTCTGAGGCCTCTGGAGCCGCAGGCAGTTCCTGAACAGGTGCGAGAGGTCGGGGCCACGACCTTGGTCTCTGGCCCTCTCAGTGATGGTGGAGGCTGTGCGCCCACTTCCCGGCAGGATGGGTGGGTTTACTGCCCGAAGTTGCGGAGGGGGCATAGGCCCCGCGGGTGTGGAGCTGGGCCCCCGTGGCCGGGGTGGGTGCAGAGGACAGGGCCCGCCCCGCTGGGCATGGAGGCCCTTGAGTTAAGCAGGCCTGCAGGTCAGAGGCCCAGCAGACACCCAGTGGCTAGACCGGCCCCAGGGCAGGACCGGAACGCATGTTGCTTGGAGGGTAAAGGCACGGCTGCAGGAATGGCCACCCGGAGGCAGGCCTGCTGTCTGCCTGTGGTCGTGACCGCACTGGAGCCTGGTGCTCAGCTCTCCCTGCCGGTGAGCTCCGCCCGGTGCTCTGATTGCCACCTCACCATCCACCTCGGGCCCCCCAGGAGGAACTCCCGGGAGATCCGCTGCCTGACGCCCCCCGGGCAGAACCCCGGTAGCGCCCCCATCGTCATCAACATCAACCGCGCGCAGCTCAGCAACCCCGAGGTGAAGTACAACTACACCGAGGACCCCACCATCCTGAGGATCGACCCCGAGTGGAGCATCAACAGGTGGGGGCGGCGCCCAGGCCCCCCGCTGAGCCGGAGCTTCCTCCGTGCGCTGTGGTGGTCCCACCAGGAAGCACCCTGTGCTGGGAGCGCTGCACACGTTGGCTGCCGCCAAGGGGAGGGGCCCTGGGTCTGCCCCCCCCCCCCAGCATTGTCTGACAGTTCCCCATCCTGCATTTTCTAGTGGTGGGACCCTCCTAACGGTCACAGGCACCAATCTGGCCACGGTGCGCGAACCTCGAATCCGAGCCAAGTACGGCGGCGTTGAGAGGGAGAATGTAAGTCCCTGCCCCCTGTTAGCTCCGCCCAGTTCCTACCATCCCTGCCGCCCCACCCCCCCAGCTTGGGCCATCCTTGGCTGTTTTGGGAGACCCTGGGGAAGGGACGTGAGCTTGCCTGGTGGGTGGGAGGGGTCCTGGCTTTGGACCCTCCGGGGTGGGTGCTCCAAGGAGCCTTGGTGCGTGGGGCGTTTGGCCCATGGGATGTGGTGGCCCAGCCTCCCGGTGCCCCGCGTCCCCAGAGCTGCATGGTGTACAACGACACCACCATGGTGTGCCGGGCGCCGTCCGTGGACAACCCGACGCGCAGCCCGCCTGAGCTGGGAGAGCGGCCGGACGAGCTGGGCTTCATCATGGACAACGTGCGCGCCCTGCTAGTGCTCAACTCCTCGTCTTTCGTCTACTACCCCGACCCCGTGCTGGAGCCGCTCAGCCCCACCGGCCTGCTGGAGCTCAAGCCCAGCTCCCCCCTCATCCTCAAGGTGGGTCATGGCTGCCGGCACGGGGTGGGGGTGGAGTTCAGGGACCCCCCCCCGCCCCGAGCCCCCCGGCTCACCTCTCCCCCGTGCAGGGCCGGAACCTCTTGCCTCCTGCGCCTGGCAATTCCCGGCTCAACTACACGGTGCTCATTGGCTCCACACCCTGCATCCTCACCGTGTCGGAGACGCAGCTGCTGTGCGAGTCGCCCAACCTGACCGGGCAGCACAAGGTCACGGTGCGTGCCCCGGCTGGCCCATCCACTTGGGAGGAGGAACCTAGGAGAGCTATGCCCCGGCCCCAGCCCTGGTCTCCTGGCCCCAGCCCGGGTCTCCTGGCCCAGCCCGGGTCTCCTGGCCCAGCCCGGGTCTCCTGGCCCCAGCCCGGGTCTCCTGGCCCCAGGCAGCAGGGCCATCCCCGCTCCATGAGCCAGCTCGAGACTTGTCCCCAGATCAGTGAGAGACTCTTGCCAACTGTGCAGGCTCCGCCCCCACCACCGCCCTGAGGCTGCTTCTACCTAATCGAGTCCCCCACCTGCCCCCTGTCCTAAGCCCTTGCCGTGCCCTGGTGCTGATCCCCGCCCCACCCCACCCCCAGATCATCAGTGGAGCGCCACCCTCAGGCAGTGTGTGGGGGTCCCATGGCCACCAGGCAGGAGGGGCGGGAGCGCCCCTCGAGCGGCTCTCCTCCCGGCCGACAGGTGCGAGCGGGCGGCTTCGAGTTCTCGCCAGGCACGCTGCAGGTGTACTCGGACAGCCTGCTGACACTGCCCGCCATCGTGGGCATCGGCGGCGGCGGGGGCCTGCTGCTGCTCGTCATCGTGGCCGTGCTCATCGCGTACAAGCGCAAGTCTCGCGACGCCGACCGCACCCTCAAGCGGCTGCAGCTGCAGATGGACAACCTGGAGTCCCGCGTGGCCCTGGAGTGCAAGGAAGGTGTGCTGCGGGGGGGTGGGGGGGGGCTCGGGGCCTGCTGGCACAGCTGCTGTCTCTGAGCCAGTGCCTTCCCACCTGCTGACGGTGGCTCCACTTGCAGTGTTGCTACGGCCTTGCCTGGGCTTGGCCCTGGACAGGTGCCTGGCCCGGGTGCCCGGCTGGGGCTTCTGGGCTGCTGGAGCAGATACTGCTTCTGGGGGCTGCTGCTGGAGAAACTGCCACACTAGGAATGGGTCCCTCGTCCTCTTGTGCCTCTGTCCTCTCATCTGCAGAATGGGCACAGTAACAGCACCCGCTTGGCTGGGCGGGGCTGCGACGGGTGCTCCCGTCTTTGGGAACAACACAACCGCAGTGGACGAGTCAGCTGTCCAAAGGGTCTCAAGGGCCAGCCATGGAGCCTGTCCCTGGTGGCCATACTGGGCCTCGGGCTCTGCCTTGCTTGGCCTGCACCCCCTGAAGCCCCTAAGACCAGGTGGGGTAGATTCTGGGCAGGCAGCCGCTGCGGATGGGACCGGGAGGGAGTTGGGTGAGCAGCAGCTGTGAGCATCAGTGGGAAGGGCGGGACCGTGTCCCAGCCAGAACAGAGACCTCCCCTGGTGTGCCGCGGGGTCCGGGGCCGCCGGCCCTGCCCACACGTCTCAGAGCGACCCTGCCCAGGGTCACCGGCTCATCCCTTGCCGAGCCGGCCCTGACCCTACAGGTGTTTGCAGATCCCCTGCACCTGCACTGAGCCCTGGGCTGTGAGTGACTGCATGGGGGTGGGGAGAGTTCAATGCTGGAAGCAAGGAGGTGGGCGCCAAGGCCGGGGCCCGGAAGGAGCCCTCGTGGTCTGGGACAGAGGCCCTGGGCCGTGTGGGGGCCACCTGGCGGGGGTGGGGCCGGCTGCTGGGTTTGACCTTCAGCCCTGGCCCTGGGTAGCTGACTTGGAACCGGCCGTTTTCTCAGGCTGAGTGGCCAGCGGTGCCTCTGGGGACTCCCCAGGCCACCGGCCAGCCTGGTGCAGCTCCACCTTCCCGGGGCTCCAGGCCTGCCGTGAGCCTGTCGGAGACTCCGTGTGGTCCTCCGCGCGGGGGTGTGGCGGGAGCGGCCTTGCTAGTAGCTGGCGTTGGTGGCTAGTTTCTCAAGTGCCAGGCGTGGTGCAGAGCCTGGGGCAGTCCCGTGGCAGGGCCGGGCACCGAAGCCGCTCTGGCTCGAGGTGGGGTGGTTGCTAAATCCGCAGGGGCTCTGATGTCGTACATAGAAAGTCCCGCGTCCCAGTGGCCCCCAGACCCCCGTAAACCTAATGCCTGGGGTCTGCCGGGGGTCACCCGGAGGGCAGGCTTGGTGGACAGGAGGCGGTGGCCTGGGTCTCCCTGGGGATGGCCTGTGGAACGTGGTGGCGGTGACAGCTCTGTGGCCGGCCAGGTGCAGGTGAGCCTGACAGCGGGCCCAGGACGTGAAGGCCCCGCCTCTTCACCAAACCCACCAGACGCAGCCCCCTGCCCCGCTCTTCACTAAACCTGCCAGACGCAGCCCCCTGCCCAGCCCCAGCCCGCCTGGCGCTCCTCTGGCTCACGATCAGATAGCGCATCCCTCAGGCAGCTGCAGCGGACACCTCACAGCTCTGGAATGTTCTGTGGGGCCGCTGCACTGCCCTGCCTGCCTTTGTTCCTGACGGAGGCAGAGCTGGCCCGGAGGGGGGTCGGGCTGCGCTGAGGGCCCCTGTGTGCCTGAGGTATGCATGGGGAGTTGGCGGAGGGTGGGCGTGGGGGTTGGGGCACAGCGTGCAGCCAGTTGGCCCTGGGCCTCTGCTGCCCCCCACCTCCCATACTTGGGTACCCCGTCCCTTCCTGGGTGGTGGAAGGAGGCTCCACCCCCGTTGTCAGCATCTGCGACCCTGGGGCCCTGCCCAGCCCAGCCCTGGTGCCACAGCCATCTCTGCTGTCATCTGGGTTAATCCTGTGGCAGTCGGGAGGGAGAGGAGTTTGGTCCCTGGTAGGGCTAGGGAGCCAGGCACCGGGAGACGCAGTGGTCGCAAAGCCCTGGGGTGACAGGGCTAGGATGGGCAGTGGGAGGGCGGGGCCGGCAGGAGGTGCCCCCGCTGATGACGTGTCCTGCCACACACAGCCTTCGCAGAGCTGCAGACCGACATCCACGAGCTGACCAACGACCTGGACGGAGCTGGCATCCCGTTCCTGGACTACCGCACGTACGCCATGCGCGTGTTGTTCCCTGGGATTGAGGACCACCCCGTGCTCAAGGAGATGGAGGTAGGAGCACCAGCCTCGCGGCCGGCAAGCAGAGGCCGCTGCCACGCTGCCTGCAAGGCCCCTGGGTGTGGGGCAGGCCGGATGACCTCAGCAGCCGGGAGTCCTCGGGGCAGCCCAGTCCTGCTGGGCTCAGGACCCAGGCAGATCCGAGAGTGGGCCAGGCAGCGAGCCCCATGTCCAGGCTGGGCCAGGGCACTGGCCAGGGTGGCTCTGGAGGGCGGGAAGGAGAGGGCCCAGGAGCATGGGGGAGGCCGGGCCTCCTCCCAGCACACTGCCCCTGTGCCTGCGTGCTCGGCCCTGTCTCGGGGGCTGCCTCCAAGGGGCCCGCTGGCCGCCTGCTCACCTGCAAACCCAGGTGGTTCCCGGCGGCTCTGCTCATGGCCTCCCACCCCAGGCTGCTGCCATGTCGAAGCTCCCCATAGGACCCCTCCCGCTGTCATCTGTCCGACTGTCTCTCAGCTGGGACTGTGCGTGTTCTGCCCAGTGCCTGTTGTTTGCCTGGACGAGGAGCCAGGTGTCCCTGGTGACCTCGGGGCACAGCCTGGTGGGAAACCTGCCGTGACAAGCCTCGGAGCCCTGGAGCCGGCCGTGCCTACACTGCTCCTCCTCCCCCACCTCCGTGCTGCGTGATCCCAGTCGGGCCTCCTCCTTTCTCTGGACTTGGGTGTCCTTGTTCATGAGGCGGGGACAGTTCACATTGCTTATCTGAAGGCAGAATGAGACCAGGACGCGTGCCCCACCCCCTGCGGATGACACCAGGGCACTGGGCTTCCTCCGAGCTCATTCGTGCCAGGCGAGGGGAGATCCGGTCCGAGGGCCTGGCCGCGCAGGGGTGGCAGGAGCTGCCTCCCCCACCCAGAGTCTGCACTGCCGGCAGCACCAGCGGTGCCCGTGTCCTGTCCCTGCCTGCATTGGGCTTCCCGGGCCGCGGAGCAGGGGACCTGTGCCAAAGACTGTGCTGATGGCGTCGGGCCGTGGTGGCAGCTTCCAGGTCATATCCTTTCTGCCCAGAAGGCTGGTCGAGGCTGGGGGGTCAGCGTGACATGCCGACCCGGGTGTGCCCACAGGTGCAGGCCAACGTGGAGAAGTCGCTGACGCTGTTTGGGCAGCTGCTGACCAAGAAGCACTTCCTGCTCACCTTCATCCGCACGCTGGAGGCCCAGCGCAGCTTCTCCATGCGCGACCGCGGCAACGTGGCCTCGCTCATCATGACGGCCCTGCAGGGCGAGATGGAGTACGCCACGGGCGTGCTCAAGCAGCTGCTGTCCGACCTCATCGAGAAGAACCTGGAGAGCAAGAACCACCCCAAGCTGCTGCTGCGGCGGTGAGCCCCGGGCGGGGCGGGGGCGATCACCGGACCCCCGAGCCTCAGCCTCCCCTGTCCAGGCACCGACAGCAAGGCCCCAGGCGTGCCGGCACGTGTGGGGCCGCCAGCGCCAGGCCCGAGTTGGCTCCAGGGCCTGGGCTCTCCGTGGCCGACCTCCCAGCCACCTGGTGCCCTGTGGAGGGGGTGCCTCCGGGAGGCCTGGGGGGGGGGGCTGCAGGGCCCGTGCTGGTGCCCGGTGGCCGTGACGCCAGCTGGCCTTGTCCTGCTGTTCTCCCTCCGCTCCCTAGGACTGAGTCGGTGGCCGAGAAGATGCTGACCAACTGGTTCACCTTCCTCTTGTACAAGTTCCTCAAGGTAGGCTGGAGACGGGCGTTCGGCCAGAGCCACGGCGGCAGGGGCGGGCCGAGGGGCTGGGGGCCGCGGCGCAGAGAAAAGGCAGAGGAAGCCGGCTCGGGGCACGGGGACCCAGCCTCAGGTGCCTGGGCACACACAGCCCTTGGCCCCTTGCCTGCCTCCCTTCCTCTCAGTTGCCTGGCCCTTGCTTAGCCCACACGGTAGCTGTGGGTGTCCCAGCTGGGCAGCGAGCGGCTGAGCTGGCTCTGGACGCAGGCCCAGACTCCACGCTGCCAGTGTCCGGAGCACGGAAGGTGGAGACGGGAGCTGGCCGTGGCCCCCTGAGCCTGTGTTATGGCTGTAGTTTGTGGAGTCAGTTGCCTGCGCTGCAGGTGCGGAGCCGTCATATGGATCGGGTGCCACCTGGCTGGCAGTGTGGTGCACGTTGTCACAGGCTGGGAGCCCAGGATCCCCGTGTCGAGCCATGTGTGTGTGTGCATTAAAGCATGTGCCCTGCGTGCTGTCCACGTGCCGGTGACCAGCTCTGTGGCCTAGCAGTCGAGGGTGGGGGCTGGTGCCGACCGACTGCCCGGATTCAAAGCCTCGTTTTCTTCATGGAATCCTGGGATGGCCTGTGCCCCCGCCTGCTCAGCTGTCACTCAGCAGGATGCTGCTCTGCCCAGCTCAGCTCAGAGGTGTTGGTGCCCAGAGCGGAGTCTGCACCGCGGCTCAGGACACTCAGGAGGCAGGATAGGGGGTGGGTGCTGGGGGTTGAGACAGGGCAGGGGCAGGGGTCTGAGGTCCCCGCAGTGAAGGCAGACAGCCCGCAGGGAGGGAGCAGTGAGGCAGTGAGAGAGAAAGGACCCAGGACGGCGAAGGGGTGGGCCTCATGGCCGTCGCTGGAGGTGACAGGTTCCTGTGCGCACAGCAGTGCCCAACCTAATCATATCGTCATTGCGTGCAGAAGTGGCGACAGCTAACACAGAGTCGGGCATTTCCTGCAAAAGTGCCGTCCTGTTACATCTGCCATTGGTTTCCATGCTCACGGAGTTGAGCTCCGTCCACCCAGAGCCGCGGCTCAGAGCAGGTGCACCTGCAGGCAGCTCTCACGCCCAGACAGGCAGGCTTAGCAGGACGAGCCCCGCCTGAGAACCTGGGTCGGCTGTGGATTCTGTTTCCTGCCGGGCTGGCCACAGGGCTGGAACACCGTGCATTTTTGCAGGAGCACTGCACAGTGCAAGGCCTGCAGGGCTACGTCCGGGAGGAAAGGCTGCGTCTCGGGGTGGTGGACGTCCAGGGAGGCTAGGAGGGGAGGTGGGAGCAGGCGAGGGGAGCATCAAGGGCCGTGCTGACCCCGAGCCCACCCTCATCTGCAGTGTGGTCCCAGCAAAGGGGTGCAGCGGGTGAGGGAGCTCTCAAAGCTGCTGGGCCCCTTGCGGTGCAGAGAGGGAGACTGATGCTGGATACGGACGATGGCCCACGGCCAGGACCTGGCTTCTCCAGGAAGGGGGCGAGTCCCCGCCCCAGGAGAGAGGCCTGAGGCTGACTGTGTCTGTGCCGCTGGCCACTGGCTACTTTCGACGCTGGCCACTGGCTACTTTCAACAGCTTTGGGTTTTGTTGTATGTTATTTTAAGATAAACTTGATTGTTCATCCGAGAGGCAGAGAGACAGAGACACAGATAGTGGCAGAGAGTTCCTGTCCGTTGGGTCACTCTCCAGATGCCCTCAACCGCTGGGCCCGGGCGGCCCGAAGCCGAGAGCTGGGAACCCAACTCCTAGAGCCACGAGGGCCTCCCAGGGCTGCCTTAGCGTTAAGCTGGGGACCCGAGACAGAGCCACTACGTGGGGTCCCCTGGGCCACACCCTGACCTCGAGCAGCCCCGGGCTTGCAGTGCAATAGGGTGCCGAGACGGCCCCACACGCAGCCCAGCCCCAACACGGTCCCTCCTCTTGGGATGTTTCACATGTACGGCACAGCAGCCAAGTTTCAAACTTGAGTTTTGTGCTTTTCCTGGGCCTTTGACATGGGTTCTGACCCTCTCTGACCACGGTGGGCAGCGCCCGTGGCAGTAGCTCCCGGGGAGCCCCACGGCCACACCACAGCCCGCGATGTAGTGCACTGCCTTGCCCATGTCTTTTGTTTGGACGCGAGCTGCTGGTTACCAGCGAGGCCCTGGGCGTTCTCAGCACTGGGGGGGGGGGGGGGGGGGGCCGGGCAGGACAGCGGTGCGGCAGGAAGAGGGCACTGAAGTGCGCTATGGACTTAGAGGGCGTTCCATCTCCCAGGGGTTCACTGGGACGGAACGCTCCCATCCTCAATCGAGGGCGTCCACACTGCCTGCCCGGCCCAGGCACCGCCACCACCACCCAGATGAACACTTGTCGCGATCCCTGCCCTCCGCGGCTGTCAGTGCCCACGGTGACGTCCCCGGGAGACGCCGGGTTCACCTTTGTTATCGCACGCCCTGTCGGCTTTGGTCAGCGTGCACTGTCATGTGTGCCCTGTTGCAGCGTCCCGCAGAGTGGCGTTCCGTGCCCTGCCTGTCCACCCCTTCCTCTCCTGACCCCCGGGAACCCCGACTTCCTGTCGTCCCCCTGGGTTTGCCTTTTCCGAATGTCATCGAGTCGGAATTGTACCGTGCGCAGCCTCACCTGATTGCTGTATTTCACCTGGTCACGTGCATTTGAGGTGCCCGCATGTCTTTCCGTGGCTTGGCAGCTCATTCCTTTTGGGCACGCCACGGATTCCTCTCACCGTTCTGACTGTGCTAAAATACACGCGGCGTGAAACCTGCCCTCGGACCGTTCTGCAGGGTGCAGGTTCGGCGGCGTCAGAGACAGCGGCCCCTCGGCGTCCGTGAGGGACAGTGCACAGACGCTCCGGTCCCTTCTGTGAGGTGGTGCGGGGTTCGCACAGAACAAGCCTGCCCTGCCCCCACGCCCACTCACTCTGGACGGCCAGGGACCCCTCACACGGGGGAGCCCTGTGCAAACAGCTGCCCTCCTGCGTGCAGCAGCGATGACGAGCGAGAGTCTACGCTCAGCCCCCACCCGGTGTTTACCTTCTGCTTCCACGGACATGGAATCCACGGATGTGGATAGCCGACTGCACGCTGATAATGTGGCCCAGCCGTCACCCCCGCCCGTGCCCAGCAGTGCCTTCTCCCAAGCTGGGACCCCTCCCCACTTCTCTCGTCCCCCGGCCCCAGCAGCCCCTGTTCTGCTCTGTCTCTGCGGTCCCTGGTATCAGCACAGTCCGAGTATCGGTCCTTTTGCGGTTGGAGGCTTTCACTGAGGTGGCGTGCAAGCGACCACGTGTCCATCAGCGGAGTGGCTACACAAGGTGTGGGTACGCACCCCCTTCCCCAGGGCTTCCCCTCCCTGGGTCCCCCGTGATCTGAAAACGCCCCTGAGAAGCTGCAGAAGTGAGCGACCCCTCGGTTTTAAGTTGCGTTCTGGCACCTCGTGCCGGCCCCTCCGTCCTGCCCGGACAGGAACCCCCCCGCTGTCCGGCGTGTCCGCGCCCACCCTTAGCGGTTTCTGTGGGGCGGCAGCGCTTGAGGGCGGGGACCGTCCAGCCCGCTTCACCGCGGCCCGACCTCAGGAGGCGTGCTGCTGGCCGTAGCAGGCAGGGAGCGCTTCCTGGCAGGGCGGCGAGCGGGTGAGCGTTCTCAGGAGGCAAGGGGAGGGGCGTGCTGCGGGTGCTGCAGCCGCGGCGAGAGCAGTCCCGCGTCCGTGGCCCGGGAACGAAGGGAGGTCCTGCTCGGTCCACAGCCGTACCTCAGACCGCAGAGGGCGTGACTGGTGCGTGGCGAGTGCTTACTCAGATGGGGACGGCATGGTGTCTGTGGGTGGACGGTGTGGTAGAAGGCGCGTCCCGGGGCAGGAAGCCCAGCGCTGAGCCTACACAGAGACTGTCTGGGAATAGAACACGGCGTGTGTAGGATTCTGTCGCATCTGAGGTTCCGGGCATCCACCTAGCATCTTAGAGGAAAGAGGGACTGTCCACATGGCGGAGTACCACGCAGCCCTAAAGAGGAGGGAAACCCTGGCACGTGTGACACGCAGATGGACTTGGAGAGAACACATGGTTTTTAAAGAACCCAGATCCTTTTCATCCCTTGCTGTCTTTAGAAACAAAACCTTTAAAAAAAAGATGTATATATTTACTTGGAAGTCGAAGTTACAGAGAGACAGGGATCTTCCCACCTGCTGGTTTGCTCCCTAGATGGTCAGAATGGTCAGGGCTGAGCCAGGCCGAAACCAGAAGTTGGGAGCTTCATCCTCATGTCCCACATGGGTGGCTGGGGCCCAAGCACTTGGGCTGCTTTTCCCAGGCCATTAGCAGAGAGCTGGATCAGAAGTAGAGCAGCCAGGACATAAACTGGTGCCCATACGGGGTGCCGGCATCACAGGCAGCAGCTTAAACCCACTGCGCCACAGTGCCAGTCCCTAGAAAGAAGTAGAAAGCCGTCTGGGCTCGTGAGCGCATGGACGTGAGTAGGAACGGGTGCGCGCCGGCCCTCTGGTGTTCTGAGGGCGATGTCGTCCATGTTTTGCTGCCTGTCTTCTTCCCAGGCTGGCTTTTGAACTGAAGCAAATGCCTATAATAAAGAGTGTTTTTCACACTAAGAAGAAATCCTACGGGTGGACCCTTCTCCTCGTTGGGAAGTTTTCTTCTTTTGAGTGGTGGCACTCATGTCGCCTGCACGCACTGCACTTCTCTTCCCTCTCCCCCCACCGCGGGCAGTGTGCGCGGCCCACCTTTGCAGGTAGGGACAGAGGTGTTAGCCCTCTTCTGTGTTACCGACTGCGTGATGTCCCACAGTGTGGCTCCTGCGCCCTTCATTGCACGTTCACTGCCAAAGCGTGTAGGAGCATTTGGATCCTCGGCAGCCGTGCGTCGCTGGTAGCGCCTTTGTCTTGGGTTGCTGAGTGGATTTCCAGCAGAGCGAGTGTAGGCGATCGGGCGCGCTCGGTTTTAATCGTCAGAAATGCTGCCACGTTGTCCTGTAAAAAGCCGCGCTGGTTCCTTGTCTGAGGCTCCTCCCCTAGGGGAACACCGGGCTTAGCAGTCTGGTCGCCGCCGGTTTGCCAAGTGTACACTGAGACCTGGTCCCTTAGTTGGCATTCCTCTCGCGAGCTGAGCGCCGTGTCTGTGTTTGATCGGCCACTTTTAACTTTTCTTTGAAGCCAAGTTTGCAAATGTCTGTTTGTAGCCTTTGGTCATTTTTGTAGAATTATTCTTTTCGGAGGCGACAGGAATTTTTAAAAGCACAGTCATCGTTTGGAGCTGCCGTGTTGCACTGAGATACAACTCTTGTTGGTGTGTGGTGTGAGGTCGGGGTGCAGCTTGACTCCCCCCCCCACCCCCAGATGGAGAAGCATCTGCCTCCTGCCTTTACCAGGCTGCCCGGGTCGGCTTTCGCTATGAAGGTGCCGCGTCTCGCTGGGCGGTTTCTCCACATTCGTGGCTGGGGCTGAGTCTGGGGCCTTCGATTCTGGACTTTGCTCTCTCCCAGCTTCTTACCGCTCTGATTCCTCCTTTGCGCCGTCTGGGCAGACTCTGAAGGAAGTGGTCAGGGCCGGCGAGGGCAGGCTGCTGCCTGGGTCGGAGGGAGAGGCGTGGCCCTGCCTGAGCCTTCTCTGAGGATACCTGGTTTTTAAAGAGCAGGTGCTTGCGGCCCACGGGGTCTGGATTTGAATCCTGGATTCTCCAGCTGTTTGCTGTGTGACCTCAGGTTCATAAGTTCTTGCTCTGACCTCCAGAGGCTGTAGCTGTGCTGCGTTCACCCTCTGCGAGGGCCTGGGCCTGGGGAACCCTGGGCGGCCCCTCCCATCAGGTGGCATTTCCAGGAAGAGAGGCAGCTGTCAGCGGCCCCTGGTCCAGCCCTGCTCCCCTTCCCAGCCCACTTAATGAAGCCAAGTTTGCAAATGAAACATAATTTCAAAGACAGGCGTGTTGTCGCAAGGTCTCAGGATGATCCAGGCTTGCGGCTGCTCCTTAGCAGCTGTCTCTTTAATTACCGCAGATGCTAACGAGGTGCCCGGAGCATCTGGTTACTGGGTAGAGCCACTGTTTGTTTGCCAAGGGCCCGGTTGGGGGCTGCCCGAGCCTGCTGCCCGCCAGGGGCACACTCAGACCTTCTGAACCCCGTCAGATGGCTGCGACTGCAGCAGACCCTGAACCCAGGCCCTGGTGTCCAGTCAGTGGTTTCACTTTGCCATGGCAACGTGAACCTTTACCCTAGACGCAGTTTCATTGGTTCAGCTCCTGCCCCAGGTGCCGGCAGCCCCTCCCAGACTGTGCACTGGGTGCCGGGGATAGGATGTGAGTGAGGCAGACATGCCCGGGCCCTCGGGCAGCCCCCACCCCCAGCGGGAGCGAGGTCACTTCCGCAGGTGACGCAGGGAGGAGCTGCAGCGTTGGGGGTGGGGTGGGGAGCCCTCGTGGGAAGGGGGTGCTGGGTGGAGTCCAGAGCACCTGTGAAGGCCGGGAGAGAGTTCTGGCTGTGGGGACAGCAGCCGCAGAGGCTGCGAGGCGGGGGCAGGAGGCAGCCCTCGAGGCCGCCGTGTGGGGGCCCGGGAGCAGACATTTGCCCGGCCAGACCGCAGCCCTGCTGGCCCGGGGCTGCGGAGCCTCTGCGGGGCGAGTTCTTGGGAACAGGTAGCGTCAGCTCTCTGTCGCTTAGAGCGCACGTTGTGGACTCCACCCTGGCCCCGGCCACCACAGTCAGGTTCCGTGCGTGGGGGAGGACGCCAGGCTGGAATCAGCCGGCCTCGGTCTGTCTCGGCCTAAATCCCGCTGGGCCGCACCGCCATGCCCTCCCTCCCTGCTCAGGTATCACAAGGGTGCCAGGGGCGTGGCTTCTGTATCTCCCAGCACGTCCTCCTTGGACTTCGGGACCAGGGACAGAGCAGCCTCCTAGAAAGAGCTTGGCACCCATGCTGGCCCGGGAGCAGCGTGGCTGGCACTGGAAGGACCGAGGGGCGGGGCAGGTGCGCGGAGCCCGGGGGTCCTGGGCGCAGCCTCATTGCCCGCCCGGCCGCAGGAGTGTGCGGGGGAGCCGTTGTTCATGCTGTACTGCGCCATCAAGCAGCAGATGGAGAAGGGGCCCATCGACGCCATCACGGGCGAGGCGCGCTACTCCCTGAGCGAGGACAAGCTCATCCGGCAGCAGATCGACTACAAGACGCTGGTGAGCACAGCCGCCGTCGCGCCCCCGCTGCCCCGCCCCGTACCCCCACCCCGCACCCTCTGTCACGCAGCCCCCCACTCCCCGCAGACGCTGAACTGTGTGATCCCCGAGAACGAGAACGCGCCCGAGGTGCCGGTGAAGGGGCTGAACTGTGACACGGTGACGCAGGTCAAGGAGAAGCTGCTGGACGCCGTGTACAAGGGCGTCCCCTACTCCCAGCGGCCCAAGGCCGGGGACATGGACCTGGGTGAGGGGCTGGGGCGGGCTGGGCCCTGGGCAAAGGAGCAGGGTTGGGGGGTGGTCAACATGGGCCCCCCCTGCTGACTGGAAACCAGAGGGGCAGAAGTGGAGGCAGAGCAGGGCCGAGACGAGTGGGTGAGAGGCCAGAGCTGGGCCTGTGGAGCCAGGGGCTGTGCCTTGTGGGATGGGCAGGTGTGGGGCTGGGCTCTGGGGTCTGCAGCAGGTGTGGCGGGACCCTGAGCCCAGGAAGGCAGGGGGAAGACCCCTGGGGCTAGGTCCCCACCGCAGGTACAGGGGCTGCAGTGGAGAACAGGCCCCTCCTCCCCTGTGCCAGTGGGAGGAACTGCCTGGACAGAGGGCGGGGCCTGGCCCTCCTTACTCGGCTCTCAAGGCCCTTCACACGTGCCCCGCGCACCCTGCCCCAGACATGGGTAAATAGGAGGCGGGAATCGGCAGGGAGGGCGGCCCCACGGCCCCCCTCAGCGCCCTGCTCCCCGCAGAGTGGCGCCAGGGCCGCATGGCGCGCATCATCCTGCAGGACGAAGATGTCACCACCAAGATCGACAACGACTGGAAGAGGCTGAACACGCTGGCTCACTACCAGGTGCGCCCCGGCCCTGCGCTCTGGCCGCAGTGCGAGTCTCGCCTCCGCCGGGGGCTTGGCAGCAGTCCATGCTGGGGTCCGGAACCTAGAGGACAGCCAGGACGGTGGCAGGCTGTGGCCTTTGGGAGGAAAGGGGGCAGAGGCCTTGGGACCACCCAGTTCCCACGCTGGCCCCTGGCACTGTCCCCGCAGCCCTGGAGCTGCCCCACACAGAGCACTGAGGCCCAGAGTGGGGAGGCACTCCCGGCGCAGACGCCGTGGGGTGGCCCAGGCCCCTGACGGGGTGGGCGGGCAGTCGGCACTGTGGTGGCATCAAGGGGCATCATGGAGTCCCTGGCCCTCTGCACACAGGTGACGGACGGGTCGTCGGTGGCGCTGGTGCCCAAGCAGACGTCAGCCTACAACATCTCCAACTCCTCCACCTTCACCAAGTCCCTCAGCAGATACGGTGAGGGTCGGGCCAGCACGCCTGTCACCGATGCTGCAGGCCGTGCCTCTCCCGATAGTGTGCGCCCCAGCTCACTCACACCCCGCCCTGCCGGTGGCCCGGGCTGTCCCCAGCAACCCAGGGAGGCTTGGGCAGGGGTTCTGCGTGCTCAGAGGTGGGGGTGGGGGCGCAGGGCCCCTGCCCACTGACGGCCTGGTGCCTGCAGAGAGCATGCTACGCACGGCCAGCAGCCCTGACAGCCTGCGCTCGCGCACGCCCATGATCACACCGGACCTGGAAAGCGGCACCAAGCTGTGGCACCTGGTGAAGAACCACGACCACCTGGACCAGCGCGAGGGCGACCGGGGCAGCAAGATGGTCTCAGAGATCTACCTGACGCGGCTGCTGGCCACCAAGGTGGGGCCCTTGCCTGGGGGGTGCAGGGGTGACGGCCAAGTTCAGAAGCAGCAGGCGGCTCGCAGGGGCAGCCTGGCAGGGCCGTGCAGCTCCGTGTCCTCGGCCACCCACAGGGCACGCTGCAGAAGTTCGTGGACGACCTGTTTGAGACCATCTTCAGCACGGCGCACCGGGGCTCGGCCCTGCCGCTGGCCATCAAGTACATGTTCGACTTCCTGGATGAGCAGGCCGACAAGCACCAGATCCACGACGCCGACGTGCGGCACACGTGGAAGAGCAACTGGTAACCACGCGCTGGGGTGCTCCGGGGCGTCCTGCCGACAGCAGGCGCAGCCGGGGGCGCCAGGAGCCCGGGCCAGGCGGCCCGGGTCTGGGGCTGAGCTCCTGCAGGCTGTGGTGGGGCCGTCACCATTTGTCCATCCCACTGCCTCCCTGACCCTGGGTTTGCACACATCCTCCTCCCTCCACCTTCAGGAGGCCCCCAGGGCCGTGGGAGCTGTGTGCATTGGGGGGGGGGGGGGAGCAGGTCCTGATCCTGCATGCTGTGCGGAGACATGCCCGTGTGGGCCGCCATATGCGAGAAGGGGCTGATGGCAGTGACAAAGGCCCAGTGCAGGCTCCGGGTACTCCCTGGAGTGAGGGCTTGCAGCTGAGGCCGGGCCGGAGACAGCTCCCGGGCACAGAGCCGAGTCATTGCCAAGGCCGCGGTGCACAGCCACACGGGTCGCAGCTGCGGCTCTGCCAGGCCTGGCCCAGTGGGGAGGGGGCTGTGCGGAAGGGGAGCCGGCTGACCGTGTGCCTGGTCCGCTCGCCTGCAGCCTGCCGCTGCGCTTCTGGGTGAACGTGATCAAGAACCCGCAGTTCGTGTTCGACATCCACAAGAACAGCATCACGGACGCCTGCCTGTCGGTGGTGGCCCAGACCTTCATGGACTCCTGCTCCACGTCGGAGCACAAGCTGGGCAAGGACTCGCCCTCCAACAAGCTGCTCTACGCCAAGGACATCCCCAACTACAAGAGCTGGGTGGAGAGGTGGGTGGCCAGAGGCGAGGAGAGGGGACGGGCGGCCAGGAGGCCTGGGCTCGCGCTCACACCCACCCCTGGCCGCCCGCCGACAGGTACTACGCCGACATCGCCAAGATGCCC